AAAAAAATAAAGTATCCAAAAAATACAAAAATTGGAAAATAAAAAAGCAAAAAATAACAATTAGACAAAAAATCGAAATAAATTGAATAAATCGGAAAACCCCAAGAAAATTCAATAAATCCAAAGAAATCCAAAAAAATCCGAAAGATAAACAAAAAAAATCCAAAAAGAATTCAAATGTTCAAAATTCAAGAATTAAAAAACAACCGAAAAATTGGAAGAATTAAAAAAATGCAAAAAATTGCAACAATTAAAAAAATATCCTAAATCCAAAAAATCCAAAAAATTGATAAAGTAAAATAAAGTGAAAGCAAGAAACCCAAAAATGCAAGAAACCCAACAAACTCATATTTTCAAATTTTCCAAAAAATTTATACAAAAAACAATGAATTTACAAAATTTAACAAAACAAAAATCCAAGAAACTCAAAAAACTCAGGAAATTCAATAATTCCAAAAATCTAAAAAAAAACACTCCAAAAAATACAAAAATTTGCACAAAAGCAAAAAATAACAACTATCCAAAAAATCGAAATAAATTGAATAAACCTAAAAACCCCAAGAAAATCCAATAAATCCAAAGAAGCCTAAAAAAATTCAAAAAAATCAAAAAAATCAAAAAACCCAAATAAATAAAAAAAAATAAAAAAACAGAAAATACCAAATAAAACTAAAAAACCCAACAAAATACCAAAGAATCAGCTAAAAACTTTAAAATTAAAAAAAAATAAAAACATTAAAAAATGCAAGACACAAAAAAACAAAAAAATTCAAAAGAAACAAAAATAAAAAAACCTCAAAAACACCAATCGAAAAAATTGGGAAATTTAAAAAAAACAAATAATTCCAAAAATTGCAAAACTTAAAAAAAATCCTGATTTCGAAGAATCAAAAAAAAATCCGGGCCGGCAGACAGACGGACAAACGGACAGACAGACGGAAATGGCAGACCTATTTCTTCGTCTTCTAGAGGTCATGAAAGATCGAGTCGACCGACGGACTCGATTACAATACTTCCTTTGCTTACGCTCGGGAAGTAAAAAATCCAGAAAATTTAAAAAGGAAAGTAAAATAAATTCCAAGAAACCCAAGAAATTAAAAAAAAAAACTCAGGAAATTCAATAACAACTATTCAAAAAATCGAAATAAATTGAATAAATCCGAAAACTCCATAAAATCCAAAAAAACTCCAAAGAAGTCCAAAAAATTCCAAATAAATCCAAAAAAATCCAAACAACTCCAAAAAAATCTAAAAAAAAATCCAAAAAAAACAACAAAATCGAAAAAAAAATAAAAAATAAAATCCAAAATATTCCAAAAAAATTGCAAAAATAAAAAAACAAATAATATCCCAAATACAAAAAATCAAATTTTAAAAACCTTTTCAACGTTCGAGTACTTAGAGTTTTCAGAGTCCTTAGAGTCTTAACTATCTTTGGAAAATTTGGATAAATATCTACACTCTTAAGATTCTGTAAACTTTTGAAATTTTGAGATTTAATTTTTTTTTAATTAATTAATTAAGTTTTTCCAGATGTTTCAGATTTTCCGGAGTACATATAATGACCAGAATTTCTACATTTTCCAAAATCCGGCTTCAGTTATACCAGAATTTTGAAATTCAACCTTTTCCAACATTTTCAAGATTTCTAGGTCCACCACATTTTTCCCACACTATCTAAATTTTTTCAGATTTTCTAAAATTTATAGATCTCAAGAGTCTAAATCTTTGGAATTTTTGGAATCTTTGCATTTTTACAGTGTCCAAGATTTACAAGATAATAATTTTGGTGTTCAAGCTTCAGTGATTTTAGGATTCATAGAAATCAAAGAAAGCATTTTTCCGATCTTTACGATTTTTAGGTCTTTAAGATTTTCGTTTGCTTTAAAGTCTTTGGAATTTTTGAAACCTTTGGCATTTTAAGAGTTCACGCAATTTTTACAAGATTTAAAATCTTTGGCTTTTTGGAATTTCCACTAGGAGTTTTATAAAACCTAAAATTTCTAGGATCCCCAGGTTCTTTAAAATTTTTAAGATTTTGTTGGATGTCTTTTATATTTTGAACATTGTTTAGAGTATGTACTTAGTTAATCAATACTTGTGGACAATTATTTTAGTGGGTGCTGACGTTCCATCAAGCGAAATTGGCAATTTATACAACATAATACTAAAGATTTCCTTGAAAATCTGTATTTCTCGGTGGTTATTAAAGTAAAATAAATATAATTTAGCCCAAAATTAAATTTAAAATGCCTTCAGGGCGCTTTACAACCCCGCTGATAATTTAATCAAGCAATTTTTGGATTTAAAACTCTCAAAAGCGGTAATTTCGCCACTAAATATATAATAAGACGCTAATTTTTCGTTTGTTTTTTTTTACGAACGGTTCCAGTTTTATTAGATGAAGCAAAAGTGAAACCAGTGTGATAAGAAACGGGGATTCCAAAAATATCAAATGAGTTTTCCCAATAATAAAAAATGTAGTGTATAGTTCTTGATTTGATCAATAAAGAAATGCCTATGAACGAGCGGATTGCACAGAGAGCTGCGATTCCATTCCACCCGAGACGAGAAGATTAACAGGATTATGAGGGCTTGTGAATTGCACCTACCTGCACTGCCGCGATTACGAGATAAAGAGATTCTAAACAATTGGTTTTAAATTAATCAAAGAGAGCTTCCTCTGGACAAGGACAAGGAAAACGACAAAAAAGGGCGACAAAGAGGCAACAAGAAATCGAAAAAAGCTCATAGAAAATCCAACAAAGGGACAAGAAGTTCACAAAAAAGGCGACAAACAATGCGAAAACAGGACCAAAAAATCCATAAAGAACGAGAAAAAATATACTAAAGAAGAGAACTAAAAAACCGCAAAGTAAAAGTAAAAATTAAAAAAGGCAACAAAACAACTGTTACAAAAAAGCGACAAAACATCTACACACACACAAAAAAGGCTGCAAAAACGGGGCAAAAATTAAAAAAAAAAACAAAAAGCTACTACAAGACGTGACAAAAAACTCAGAAAAAAAGACAATTTTAAGTCCCCAAAAAAGACGACAAAAACCCCGAAAGGGGGCAAAAAAAATCATGACAAACTCACAATTACGTCGAGTGGCGGAATTCCTTCTACGACGAGCGGATCGCACAGAGTACCGCAATTCCGCGGCACCCAGGCGAGACGATTAAGAGAGCTTCGAATTGCACTGACGGTCATTGGCACAATTAGGCCGAGTGACCCAATTCCTTCTACGACAAGCGGATCACACAGAGAGCCGCAATTCACCCACAAAAAGTGACAAAAAAGGGACAAACAACCGACAAAAAAATGCGAAAACAGAGGATAAAAAAAGATCATGAAAAAATGGGAAATGCGACTAAAAAGGGAGGATAGAACACGAGAAAAAATGTGACAAAAAAAGAACAAAAAAAGGTGACAACAAATCAACAAAAAAGCGACTTCAAAAAGTGATTAAAAAAACATGAAAAATTCAACAAAAAAGGGTGAGTATAAAAAGGTGACAAACGGGCAAAAATGACACAGAAACGAGTATTGTGTTATATTATTTTAGGAAATTTAAGTCAAATTTACAATGCAAAATTTTGAAGTGGCGTCATGAAATCTTTTTCATTTCATATTCTAACGGTCATGAACGTCAAGAAAGCATGAAAGTAACCAGTCGCCCGACGGACTCGATTACAATACTCTCTCAGCATACGCTCGGGAAATAAAAAAATCTTCTAGCTAGCAATAAACGTTACATAAAAAAAATCTCTAACGATAAACATATTACACGAAACGTTCGCTAATTACGTAACTAAATGTACGACAAATAGCAAACATCCAACATCAAACCACTATAACTTTTAAAGTATGTATAACACAAATACCCGCTCTGAAATACGACTCGACCATTATTATGTTGTGGTTTTGCCCGTTAACCATATTACGGGATAATTGGTGCTGCTGAAAAATTACAAACGCGGTATCGCTGTATGTGATCTGAATTCTTCCATGATTTAAAAGCGAGTGATGCTGTTTTCACTTGTATTCGCAGTTGGTCACATATTAAAAAAAAAACAGACATAAAGAGTCAGCAAAAATAAAAAATAATTTGTTTTTTATATTAAATAGAATTTCGACAAAAATTATATATTTTTTATTGTTTTTAAAATGTGAATTCTCTTTGAAAATACAACATATTTGTAATCATAATAAAAACACAAATCATCGAATTATTCATGCACTGAATTCTTTGTATGCTTACATGTTTGTAATTTCAGGTGGTTATTATTTTGTGTCGTTATTAAAATTAATTAATTAAATCACGTAATTCAATTCCAAACAAAAAGACCACATTGGGGCTTAGTCAAATGTAATAATTAACAATATATAAAATCCACAAACCAATCGATTTCCAATTTCTGCTTTTGCGCAACATCGTCAACATGGTCAATGTGAAATATTCTCAAACAACCAGACTTACGCACGGTCCTTCCGTTACCAGAATTCCACCCACTTGTAATATAAAACCGCTTAAAATTTTCGTTCCAATTTATTTTCATGTGAGGACGTAAAACCAAATCTAGGATGTCATTTTTTCGTAAAATCCTGCAGGATATGACATGCTATTCCATCTCGAGACAAAGTAAATCCTGCCAAAGTACCATGTACACATAAGACTCCTTACTTCCAGGGTCTGATACTTGCCTAATTTTATTTATACTGCACATAGTTTGCGCTGGAGAGTTTCCCAAAGTAGAGTGGAAAGTTTAAGCCCGGATCAGAAGTCGGTTGACATCGTGCCAAACTTGTCTGGATATCGTTCGATCGAGAAATACTCCATTTAGAATCCCATTTTTAATATTTCTAGATTCGTTAATACGCCCAGAAATTCTCAGATGCTTTAGTTGTGCGATTTCAACTATTTCGCATTTTTCACTCCACCGTACGACATTTTTCAGCCGAATTCAGTCGTTCTAACTGTTTATTTTTGTTCCAGTTCCTCGCACTCATGGAAAGGGCAGAAATTGCAAATGTCACGCTGCAATATAAGCAAGCCACGATATTCGCTCCGATAAACCAGGCATTCCAGACGTACGGTAAAACCGTAGAGGACCCAATTTCGCTGGTTCTCTACCACATGGGTAAGCCTATTTGTATGTTTTATGTTCGTACACGTGAAATTACAGCTTGAGTCTCCAGTGGCCAGGAGCGCTGTTTTTTTATTGTCAATACCGAGCCAAACTCCATTTAGAAAATGAGAATTCCCTGTAACGGAAAAAAATTGAAAATACCTGCCTGAATGCCTCGTATAAGTAATGATTCTGCCACTGAACTGGTTTGCAGTCGCAAAACGGGGACAAAGACAATTTAATCTCCATTTACGTAACCAGATGTCATGGGATCCGGACGCTGCCTTATCTCTGTGAAAATTGCTGGTTATGGCATTAAATGGAGCTAAATAGCATTTGCATCGATAAAAACGGGCGTTGTTCGAACGGTGGTTAATTTACCTTGCAACAGCGCACACACAAGGGATGATAATTATTCATGGATAGAGGCGCGATTTTTTCCATTGTACATATTACAAACGTTGGACACTGTATTGTGTTCGGAAACCCAAAATAGGGGGTTTTAAAATCCATAAATCTCGGATAATTACAGGCAAATATCTCTAATGAATAACCATGCGTTGCACATGCGAAAAATTTACAAACACAGCCGTAAATCGCAAAATAATTCGGTGCGAGGGATACGTTCTTGGTGACGTCACACGACAAAAACGAGCTCGTCACGAATTTATTTAGTTGAAATTGTTGGACGATTAATTAAATACCTAATCCAGCAAAGTTGACGGCGCGCCGTCACTATTTTAACCATCTGAAACCTATTCAAAGAATTTTCCAAAACGAGCTTGATTATTAATTAAACGTAGGTTCAGTGTGAGTAAATTTTGAAAACCCAAGCCGAAGGCTTTTTCAAGCTAATTAATTAGCAATCAATAAGCGCTGGACTCAAGGTTATCATCCCCTCTGGAGGTTTAAAACACACCCTGCGTAAGCCACCCCAGCACGTTTCCACAGGGGCATTATCGGAATTGGCGCCGCAGAAGCGATTCCTGCAATAATCATCATTGGCAATAACAGAAATGCCCGGCCGCATTTCACGCAATCCTCCCTCACCGAGTGCTGGTTGCCCCATTCTATTTGCAGGCCCTAATTAAATAAGGAGCTGCATCGCTTGCAGATATTGCCTAGATTCGGGCGAGAATAGCACTTTCAAAGGGTCAAGGGTTTGCGGCGGGCGCGCTAAATAATAAAAATATCGAGGTATATTAAGAATTCCAGCAATCCGCGAATCAACAAGTGGCGCTTTATTGCAGGCTGCACGTATGGCGCAGTCGGTAGGATGAAATTTTTAAATCGTCTCCGAATTTTACCTTTCGTTATCGAACTTCATTGCGATGAAAGAAAAACAGACGAATGTTATTTTTAAATAATATAAAGCGAGCAAATCTCCCAGAGCAGTTATTCGCCAGCGTCGCATATTTAATAAAGTCAGTTCGGCGGTTTCGTTCGCAGTAATTGGATAAAATGTAAAATTGAATAACTGAATTGAAAATGATTTAGGAGGCATTTTCCGGATTCTTCGAAGTCAAATTGTGGCGAAATATTCATGAGGGCACACATCTGCTACGAAAACATTGACTACAATAGAACGAAAAATTCTGCTGGGTCTAATTAACTTTGATAAGAGTTTAGACGTTGTTATTGGGGTTTTGAGCCGAATATGAAAAATTCCCGGGCTGCATATGTCTCGTGCAATTTAACTCATGTTCAGATAACGAATTTAGTTTAATGGAATTCTTGGAAAATATTTCAGGCTGAATGGCGAGATACTGTGAAAGTAATTTAGATATGAATAAAGTGATGCAGGGAAATGGAATAATAAATTGAAGGAAGGATTTTGAATCCACGTATTTCGCATAGAACGTCGGGAGACTCCCTTTGTTCCTATTTTAATTGTCAAACTTTTCCATTAAGCTTATTATTAACCTTCGCACTCATCTCTCATCTATCGCAGTATCTTATCTTTTCCAACTTCCCCCGGCTAAAAGCTAAGTGCAACCTATACCGATTCGAACAATTGTCTTAACCGTCCAAGTTGAACCGGGCGATCGTAATAGCCTGACGTTAACTGATTGAATTAAAGGGCATATCGCTGTTCCGAAAGACCCTCCCTCTGTGAAACAATATATAAGATAAAACAAAAACTGGATCCATTCAGATTAATGGAGCGTCGCATAAAAAGGCAATGAAAGGACGATAAAAGAAAGAACGAAGAGGAAGATATGACTGCGTCGGATGAAAGCGTTACATCTTGCATGAGCCATGCTTTAAATAATAAAACAACATAAAATGTCCATTTAGTTCAAAGCGTCCTCTATTAAAAATACAAATTTTCAATTTCTCACACCGATTCTTACCACTTTTGAAAACCCAAACAAAGCCACCTCATGAATAAAGACAGAGCCGATTTAATTATTCGTCTGCATAAATTCATAGCGTAAGGGAGGCATTGTTAAAGCTTCAACTGGTGGCCACTTGATCTATGAAACAATAAGCTCCCAACCCTCATAGGGGATGTTTTGTCCGCTTCGCTTTAATAAGTGATGAAATTCAAAGTTTTCCCACTATTACGTAGGCATGTGTCAAACGGACGGTTTTATTAATTGCGCGTTTAATGCAAGTTCAAGGAGTTTCCGGAAAACAAATGGCCCCGCCGGATTAATCCGGGCCCCGGATTTATGAAACTGACATTCGTATTAATTATTTATGAGAGCTGGGGAGCCTAATTGGCAGCTATTGATTTTGTTTTCGGACGAGTGGATTGTTACAGTTTTGGAGATTAATGGTTCGACTACAACTACGCCGAGACAACGCTACTAGTATCAAAACTCCCCTCGAAGCGCAGTTTAATCCGGCTCGAAGGACCACTCGAAAGCAATTTAATCCATATAACTGAAACAATCACTCCTCGACCCTTTCCTTCGCGCAAAGCTCCCACAATTAAACTCGCTTTTTGCAGCAAGCGTCCCCAAAAAAATCAACCAGCTGGGCTCTTCGTACACTTCCGTCTACTCCGAACTGACCGGGAATCCACCTTTATGGATCACGCATACCACTGGAAGCTACCATAACGACATCTACGTCAACAACGCCCGGCTGTTGGTCAGCCAATCCGACGTCGTCACGATCCACAAAGACACAAACTTGCAAGTAAGTACTGTCTCTCAATTTCCTGCTGCATTATTAACAAGCTCTCGATACGGTTAGCCCACGGGCGGAATTATTAATGATTCCGAAATGGTTAATTTTGGGTGACCGATAAATTTTGTTATACACTTGATAACAATAAAGCGTAGGTTAGGACCTAAGTTTGCTCCGTTTATAACGTCGAGGGTCATTTTGAACCCCTTTTATAGTCGCTAAGGTTCTGTTTACGGCTAGATACATATTGTTTGGAATTCATAGTTTAACTTTGTCTTGGAAGCTAAATATCAACCACGAACTAATCAATGAAAGCTGAGTGTGCACATTTTCCGCTCCATATATAGAATCAGCGAAACTTCCAAGTTTCTGTGTACGAGAACTACGGAGCAACACGGATACTAATTTGTCGTGACCTGATTGTTGATTTTGCCATTTAAATCATGTTTGTCACTGGTGGAAATTCTGGAAGGGTAGAGCTCGTTTGTGACTTTTCGAATGAAGGAAGCATTTCCAAACCGACAGATTTCTGGGGCGGGAAGCTCCGTTCTGACGATTTGACGCCTGGAATTCCTCGTGTCTGTGTTTATTGTCAGAAATTCTACAATGTGATACGGGAAAAGGGAGATAATTATGCAAGCAATTCGGATTTGAGTTGGTGGAATAAAATCACGAATATTTCGTAGCACGCCCTGCTGCAGGGAAAAATTGTATCGCAGAAAACAAATACAAGAAAAATCCAGTGATAACTAAACGGTTCAAGTATCCAGTCTGCAGATTCCAAGAGAGCTTCAAGGAATCCAATATTTCAAACTTCAGTGCGAATTCTTTTACCGTTTTTTGAAGTTATGTCCCGTTAAATTTGAAGAAAGGCTATTTTTAAAGTCAAAAATGACACCTTCCTGTATATTCCTCTCATCATACTAAACAGATTGACTATCCGGTCTGAAGATCTGCTAACGGAACAAGAAAGCTTCCAGGAAACAAGTGCTTCAAACTGCCGTGCGGACTTTTGTACCGTTTTGGAGTTATGTCCCGTTAAATTTGAAAAAAGGCTGTTTTAAGTCGAAAATGACACATTATATATTCGTCTCTCTATTCTAATTGGGTCGAGTATCCAATCTGGAATTTTGTTTCCAGAACTAGAAAGCTTCAGAGAATCGAAAGCTTGAGACCGCAATTCGTACTTTTGTGTCGTTTTGAAGTTATGTCCCGTTAAATTTGAATAAAGGCTATTTTCAAAGTCAAAAATGACACCTTCCTATATATTCCTCTCTTCATATTACACAGATCGACTATTCGGTCTGAAAATCTGTTTGTGGAACTAAAAAGCTTCAAGAAAAAGAGAGCTTCAGACTGCAATGCGGATTTATGCGCCGTTTTGAAGTTATGTCCCGTTAAATTTAAAGAAAGGCTATTTTTAAAGTCAAAAATGACACCTTCCTGTATACATCGCTTCATACTAAACAGATTGACTATCCGGTCTGAAGATCTGCTAACGGAACAAGAAAGCTTCCAGGAAACGAGTGCTTCAAACTGCCATGCGGACTTTTGTACCGTTTTGGAGTTATATCCCGTTAAATTTGAAAAAAGGCGGTTTTTAAGTCAAAAATTACACCATATATATTCTTCTCTCTATTCTAATTGCGTCGGGTATCCGATCTGGAATTTTGTTTCCAGAACTAGAAAGCTTCAGAGAATCGAAAACTTTAGACCGCAATTCGTACTTTTGTGCCGTTTTGAAGTTATGTCCCGTTAAATTTGAACAAAGGCTATTTTCAAAGTCAAAAATGACACCTTCCTATATATTCCTCTCTTCCTATTACACAGATCGACTATCCGGTCTGAAAATCTGCTTGTGGAACTAAAAAGCTTCAAGAAATCGAGAGGTTCAGACTGCATTGCGGATTTCTGTGCCGTTTTGAAGTTATGTCCCGTTAAATTTGAAGAAAGGCTATTTTTAAAGTCAAAAATGACACCTTCCTGTATATTCCTCGCTTCATACTAAACAGATTGACTATCCGGTCTGAAGATCTGCTAACGGAACAAGAAAGCTTCCAGGAAACGAGTGCTTCAAACTGTCATGAGGACGTTTGTACCGTTTTGGAGTTATGTCCCGTTGAATTTGAAAAAAGGCTGTTTTAAGTCGAAAATGACACCTTATATATTCGTCTCTCTATTCTAATTGGGTCGGGTATCCGATCTGGAATTTTGTTTCCAGAACTAGAAAGCTTCAGAGAATCGAGAGCTTTAGACCGCAATTCGTACTTTTGTGCCGTTTTGAAGTTATGTCCCGTTAAATTTGAACAAAAGCTATTTTCAAAGTCAAAAATGACACCTTCCTATATATTCCTCTCTTCATATTACACAGATCGACTATCCGGTCTGAAAATCTGCTTGTGGAACTAAAAAGCTTCAAGAAATCGAGAGCTTCAGACTGCAATGCGGATTTCTGTGCCGTTTTGAAGTTATGTCCCGTTAAATTTCAAGAAAGGCTATTTTTAAAGTCAAAAATGACACCTTCCTGTATATTCCTCTCTTCATACTAAACAGATTGACTATCCGGTCTGAAGATCTGCTAACGGAACAAGAAAGCTTCCAGGAAACGAGTGCTTCAAACTGCCATGCGGACTTTTGTACAGTTTTGGAGTTATGTCCCGTTAAATTTGAAAAAAGGCTGTTTTAAGTCGAAAATGACACCTTATATATTCGTCTCTCTTTTCTAATTGGGTCGAGTATCCGATCTGGAATTTTGTTTCCAGAACTAGAAAGCTTCAGAGAATCGAAAGCTTGAGACCGCAATTCGTACTTTTGTGCCGTTTTGAAGTTATGTCCCGTTAAATTTGAACAAAGGCTATTTTCAAAGTCAAAAATAACATCTTCCTATATATTCCTCTCTTCATACTAAACAGATTGACTATCCGGTCTGAAGATCTGCTAACGGAACAAGAAAGCTTCCAGGAAACGAGTGCGTTAAACCACTATGCGGATTTTTGGACGGTTTTTGAGTTATATCCTGTTAAATTTGAAAAAAGGTTGTTTTTAAGTCAAAAATTACACCATATATATTCTTCTCTCTATTCTAATTGCGTCGGGTATCCGATCTGGAATTTTGTTTCCAGAACTAGAAAGCTTCAGAGAATCGAAAGCTTTAAACCGCAATTCGTACTTTTGTGCCGTTTTGAAGTTATGTCCCGTTAAATTTGAACAAAGGCTATTTTCAAAGTCAAAAATAACATCTTCCTATATATTTCTCTCTTCATACTAAACAGATTGACTATCCGGTCTGAAGATCTGCTAACGGAACAAGAAAGCTTCCAGGAATCGAGTGCTTTAAACCACTATGCGGATTTTTGGACGGGTTTTGAGTTATGTCCTGTTAAATTTGAAAAAAGGTTGTTTTTAAGTCAAAAATTACACCATATATATTCTCCTCTCTATTCTAATTGCGTCGAGTATCCGATCTGGAATTTTGTTTCCAGAACTAGAAAGCTTCAGAGAATCGAAAGCTTTAAACCGCAATTCGTACTTTTGTGCCGTTTTGAAGTTATGTCCGGTTAAATTTGAACAAAGGCTATTTTCAAAGTCAAAAATAACATCTTCCTATATATTCCTCTCTTCATATTACACAGATCGTCTATCCGGTCTGAAAATCTGTTTGTGGGACAAGAAAGCTTCTAGAAATGGAGTGATTCAAACTGTAATGCGGATTTCTGTAGTGTTTTGGAGTTATGTCCCGTTAAATCTGAAGAAAGGCTGTTTTTTAAGTCGAAATGACACCTAAAGTATTTGCAAGTATTACGGTTCAAATAAAAAGGAATTTATATGAAAAATAACCTGCAAATGAAGAACAAACTATGAATTTAAAGGACTTATAAACGACGCAAAGTAAAGAAGATATAGCACTGGAGTAACAATTATTAAGAATTGTCAAAAAATATCATAGTTACCTAAAAAACACTTCTACATCAACTTTCCAGAAGGAATTAATGGGATTTTAAAATGGGTGTTTTCAGTATTCGTCATTTTTCGCCGAAAAGCCTGCCATTAATTATTTGGACGTCGATCACCGTCCCCAGCCTACCTTCCTTCACACTTTACAGTAACTGCGATCATACATACAAATTTATGTTCAGCAATTTTCCTATCCCGCATCTCGATATTCCCCGAAGCCGTAAAGAAACGTCGTTCAATGATGTTTTCCAGAAGCGAAGTCTATTAGAATCCTGAAATGTAATCCCCTCGACCCGATGTATTCAGAGTGACACACAGACAGAGCCCTCCATGCGAATCGTGCTCTATCCATCTCCCGTCAAAGACCATATTAACACGCACCCTTGAAGTCCCCCGGTCCTTCCGTCATTTCGCACCTCCAGGTCTTTGTGATAGAAAAAGCCGCGATTCCGCAGCGGCAGCACTTTATGCAAACCGTGGGAATTATAATCGTCCATCCCTCCCTAAAATAACACGACCACTTCCCCAAACCTGATAACGCAGACACATTTCCAACGCAAATCTCCATAAACCCGCCTCGACCTTTATAATTTTTAATATCCGACACAATTGCTCCATCATAATTCGATTAGGAGAAACGCAGGATTTTCAATCTAGCCGCAAACACAAAATCGAGAAAGTTTCTCACTGATTAAACCTCTTGACCGTTACTTCCATAGCTTATAATTCACGATTACGCGATACACGAGGTCCCGAGGGTTGCTCTCCACATTTTACGACACGCATTTCCTCTCGGAGTAGATTTAAAGTGGGCCTCGCGAGCCCTTCACGACTTATTCTACTACACTTTCCAACTGGAATGTCCTCAATCTTCTGCAAATGCTCGGTTTTAGATTCTACACAAGATCGACGAAGTCCTGGTGCCTACCACGGGGCCTAAGAATCTGGCGAAGATATACAACCCGACGGCGTTCGAATTCTTGCACTTTTACGAGTCGTTCATCGTCAACCCACACAGGCTAAGGTAAGACACCGAAAACGTTCAAATGCGGAACTTTTAATTCAGTTTTTTTCGAATTTTTCCAATTACCGATGACATTTGTGGTCATTGACCAAGTTGTTCATTATGGGGCTATATTTGACCCTGTCTGCTTTAAGCAACAACAAAACTGTAATTGTGGCAAAACAGACTCTGTATTTCCACATGTTTGATTGAAATGCAAGGATTTATGCCAGCCTTTGATGCAAAGTTTGCAACCGCAATATCAATTCGTTAACAGAAATTCATTATATTGTATGTAGCCGGTTTCTATATCAATAGCTTTCAATTTAGACAACAAAGTGAGCACATTCATCCACATATCACTGTTTAATACGAAATTTCAGAACTTTCCGCCAGAAAGTCGAGCAAACTAAGAAAGAAGACATCTTCAAAACAGAAGGAGGACACACATTTTTCATTCCTGTTGACGAAGGATTCGTTAAGGTAAATTTTCGTAAAAATACCACACCTTCTAATTTTAATTTAGCTTTTTATTATTATTATTTTTTTTTAATTAAACCTTGTCAAGAGGGCAATGTTACCATTTTTCCTGCTGATTAAGAGTGCGTCGATATTGTAGTAGGAGTTGTGACACGCCCTAAAGTCACTTTAACCGCCTTTTACGGGAGCGGTTACTCGGGCGCCAGTTCTCTCTCCGGAGAGAGATTTTTTTGTATATTTTGACATCCAGAAGGAACTTTCGGCCTCATTTCTTCAAAAACTCTTCCTAATCTTGTTCTGGGACCATAAACACGCTTTAATTTTCTCAGAATTTTTATGGATTAGGTAACTTTTTCACAAGTTCAATTCAATATTTCTCACTTAAATAAAAATTTCCAACCACCGTATTTGCCATATATTACCACATGGTACAAATTTCCGCTTGTCTTATTCTACCAACTGAAAAATTATAGAGCAAAAATTTCCAGAACGAACGTGCCGCCCTGATAGACGGTAAAATCATCGACGGTCACGTCATCCCAAAGAAGGTACTATTCACAGCCCCCACCAAAAAAGACGTTCCTTTCGAGACTCTTGCCAACGGTGACAACAACGTCAGAGTCGTCATTTCATTCACTCAAGAAAACAGAGGCCCTAACAATATAATAAGTAAGAATTGTGTGACAATGTAGCTCACTTTTGGCGCGAAATTTGAACACGCGCGCATGCGCGGCGGCTTGACCTAGTGCAGCTCACCGTCACAGCAAAGCGGGTCGCTGAGTTTGAATTTCCCGCCTGGTTACACCACTTTGGAATGAAAATGTGTTTTGTAGACTACGTGAAAAGCCACACCCTGCTGAGCGACGGACACCACCAGCAAGGAGTCGTTCTGTCCGAGATCGTCCAAGCCAACATACCCGTGAAAAACGGGGTCGTCCACCTCATCCAGCGACCCCTCATGGTAGTGGACAACAACGTCCGAGAGCTCCTAGAGGTAGGTCTCCACCGCCACCCCATTGTCGAACCAAACCGTGTTTTCTTTTAATTCACGCAGTTTTTCAGCTTTTTCACAAAATTTTTTTCAAAGGCAAAAATTTTTCATTCGGTGATTGTCGTACAAACCACACCACAATATACACATACATGAAAATGTCATTCGTTTGAGCAAAATTTCGTATTAATGTATTTTTTGAAACAGGAACAAATGGATTATATTTGCAACATTGGCTATAAAAAGAAGGAAGAAGTTGAAGACCCGTTTCTTCTTGTACGTGGAAAGATAATCTTAGCTAGAGCAGGTTTCAGTTCGTTAATACTTTTATTTATGTAAAAATTTGACAAGTTGCATCGCTTTGACTGTAGTTATAGTGTGCTCAAGTAATTTGATCACGAAAAATGTTGTGTGGATGCTTCCCAAAAGTGTAAATAATCGTAACCGATTTCGCTGTAAATTCCACCCAAGTATTTAGTGAAGCGTCATTTTGAGAGCGTACGCGTAGTGCCTTGCTAAACCTGTACATAAACCTATAAATAAAATGTAAATTTAATTGCGCCACGATAAATACTTCCACATTTAACACGACACACACCATACGCATCCCCATTACATTTAGACATAAATTAATCCCAATTTATGGGCGCAAGCACCAGTTAGGGGGTAGCTAACAACCGCGTGAATTATTCCGAGATTATTTCTATTTCTTTTTTTGTCTTGCTAGTGTAAGCTTCTTGTTCAAAGCATCGAAAGTGGAGTTTGCCGACTTGTAAATTTCGAAACTAGCGCAAACCTCACTTTCATCGATTCTGAACATGCTCTTTGTGTCGTCGTGCAACATTAATTCATCCGCTTATTTTCTGCTCATCTTTTTGGAAACTGCTGCAGAATAAGGTAACTTGGTGGTTTAGTAAATGTTTACACTCACTGTGAAACGTCGTATGCTTTTGTGAGCGTTTAGCAGCACGCTTTAATTTTTGTCCTTTGCAAATAAAACATGAAAGCGAGTGTTGGATGAAAGCGTAGAATATGTAGCTATAAGTGGAAAAGAGTCCGTACGTTCATAAGCATCACTGCTGTGACAATGACTTTCCACTTGAACGAAGAATGGGGCTTCCACTGGAATGCGACCTTTGTAATTTGCTGCGCCAGCTTCTACGTTTTCGAAAAACGCAAGATGTATCATTTTCGTCCTGTGCTGACACCAGGGACAACGAAAATTATACATCGACCAACACTACGAAAGTTGGCACACCGAAAATACACACGAAGGTGGTTCTAAGTGCACTTTTATCACACCGGTTTTCTTACATTTTCATATTTTGTTACGAATCGTACGCACGAAGCAGGTCAAATTTGCGCCCACTATACTCGTACCGTCACAAAAATGTATTAGACAAATTTCAAAAGCTTCTGCTTTGACTTTGAAAACCACATTTATTATTATTATTTTAACACTTTTTCTATTTGCTGCTTTGTCGGATTAAATTTTTGAAACGAGTTCGATCCACATCCTTTTGTAGCTAAACAAAAAGATTTAGTGAAATAATCGTATGGTGAAGTGTTTTTAAAAAATCCCCGTGACTCGAGGGGGAGTGTAAGAATCGTATCAAAATCCGTCAACTTTAATTGTCTAACAATCCGAACGCTATTAATTATTCGTGGGCTCGTAAGTTCTGAACACATAAGCGCCTTATCTTTCTCCATGTCAGTCAGTACAGGTAATTAAATCCTCGAATAGTAAACAAGCAAAGAAGCTTAAACGCGAAATAAACAATAAAATATTACATTACAGAAACCTCCTTCAGCATGAATGTTCATCAATGCATATTATATTATCCGTAAGACAATGAAAACTTCGGTGTGTATATTGGAAGCGATCGAACCGGCTTTTAGTGATGATAATACAGTAATTATAATTTCAAAAGCTTCTACTCGATTGGGTTGTCATGCATGTCTGTCATGCTTTTGTTACTGTGAATAGTGTACACACACGTGCATCTTTTGTCTTCTAGCCAATCACAATCCGGTCCTTGGGGACCCTTTGCTCATTGGTTGCTGCACGACCAATAGACAGACGATGCACGCGACTTACAATCATACATTTATACGATATTTTTCACATCATTAGGAAAAAGACGGTGGCATTCTAAGCAGTTTTGTGCGGGCTATTACTGACGCTGACTACAAAGAGTTCTTCAATACGCTAGAACGCTCCCATGACATTACGTTATTTGCGCCGTGCGACGCCGCCTGGCGGGATGACTATACCCTGAATAGTATCATCAGTAACAAGAACAAATTCAAGGACATTCTGAGGATGCACCTGATTACCGATACCCGCTTGTACGTCGACAAGATTATCAATATTGGCAACAGCAGGGACAAGAGGGTGAGTTGTGTGGGGTTGCTTTGGGAGGGTGTCACGTGTCCGACGATTCCAGCTGTCTCCAGATGTTATTTAATTAACCACAACGTATGAGCGTTCACGGGCTAATTACTGGTCACCATGATATGCTTGTTAGATTGTTAGTTGGTTAGCCATAATTATGCGCTTATTGCTGGGGAAGCTTTTGAAAATTTAATTCGGTCGACTTGATTTCACTAATCGTACGTTCTGAACAAGGTGATGCACCATCGGGTTACATATTATGCCTAAGCAATAGTGTTTCGTTTCAACTGTCAGCAGCTTAAGCGTGCACCGCGACCTGGATAACATCTGAGTTTAACTGTTACCACACTCACAACTTTTGGACACACAACGCCATCGCCATTCATTATTTTTTTTAAATTAAGTTGGAAAGCTATATTATCTTAAGTTGTAGGTAGCATTTTAGACTTAGATGTTGCAGCACTAGTCGAAATTTCTGAAAAAAAAAAATTGTGTGCAACGTGTCACAAAAACTCGTTTTTTGTTACACGTTCGAAATGCGAAGTCGTGCAAGGCTATGAAAGTCAGCTTATCTGAATGTTAAAAAGTTCGCTTTGTGCGATTTCAGCTCTAATCGGTAAGCCATAATAAATCCTTCCCACCCCTACAGACTTAGTGATTTAATAAACCATTTTTACGATTATGACAGTAATAACGTTTTCCTACTAAGGTGCACACACAAGACCCCACCACCGACCTCTACTTCAATGTGGTAACATCAGGGACTAATAGGACCGTAACTGTCGAAGGGGGTGGAGTTAATGCCACCGTAATTCAGCCAGACTTGGCAGCCACCAACGGTGTTATTCACATTATCGACAGAGTCCTGGGAGTCCCCTACACAACAGTATACGATAAATTGCTCACCGATTATTCACTCAAGTAAGTTATGACACTTCCTCGTCACCCAGGTCGTAAAAACCCATTTTACAGCAAAACGTTCCGATTGGGCAATCAAGGCGGATTCAACAACCAACTCACCGACACCACGAAAAAATTCACCTATTTCGTGCCTCGGAACGAGGCGTGGGACGAGGCCGGCGTCGACCACCCCTCCGCCGTCAAAAAACTATTCATGCCCCAGTACCACTACCACGTAAGTAGCATTTCAAATCCAACTTTGCCCTATTTACAAAAATCAAACCCAGGCTAATAACATCCTCGAGCGCCACCTCGTCATCTCCGACGAACCCTACACCATGGAACGCATCAAGCAGCTGACTTCCGAGCGGAACGAGGACATGTACGGCCCCCGGACCGAGATCAGCCTGCCAACCGTACGCGGGGAATTGTCGCTGTATGTGGAGGAGAGCAACGATCACAGTAAGTATCGCAAAATCTACACCGAGCTTCATCCGATCTGCATTCTTACGACTTTCTTTTTTCCACTACTAAGACGACCCCTCGAGTAATATAAGTAAGTTGAACGTCGCTGTCTTCACAGCTACTGGAGGAGTGCTTATGTCTCGTGTTCTCATTTTCAGTGCGAGCACTGTTTTGTCAAATACACCGCTTGGGCTTTTCGCTTTCGCGTGATGTAAACTGAAAATGAGGTCGAATGAAATCTGATACAGTGCACTGCGGCACGCTAATTGCAAATTTGCGATAGGTCGGTAGGAAACACTCAGCACCGGGATTGCAGTGAGGGTGTATAGAAGGTATAATTAAGGGGGAAGTTTTAATGAGGTGAAAGAAACTGGTACCCTCGTACGGAGTAAATGAGAACGTCACGTTCAAAATGTCTTCCTTTCGACTTGTCCCACTGAAGTGGTTTTTTACTTTTACGTTTTCTGTTCCCGTCTGTCTGTCTGTCCGTCTGTCTGCAGTCCCGATTTTTATTAGACAGGTAATCTCCGAAAGTACTAGACCAATTCTTGTCAAATTTTGTATTTATATTAAGAAAATGATATAGATGGTAAAACGCTAAGCAAAATTTGTCTAATCATCCCCACCAATAATGTAATGACGTCACCTCAAAATTTTCCTGAATATATCCTATCTAAAGTGTGTAAACTATGATCAGTTTATAGTTATAATTTATCATTGCATTCATATTTTTTTAATTTCCTTATTTTGTTGAATAAATCTGAATTACACAACTGAATAGTTTGAAAGTTTGCAGACGTTTTAAATCTATTGTAATCATGGTAAATTGTTAATCAAAATATATCTGTTTATTCCCCCCAAAAAATTGATGACGTCATCTCAAAATTTTGCCGAATAAATTCTGCCCAAACTGTGCAAAATATGATGAGTTTTTACTCGTGATTTATCATTGCATTGATATTTATTACATTTGACAGAATCTTAAATAATACGCAAAGAAACCGAAAACATATGAGATACTTAATGCAAGAAAGTATAAGAGAATTGACCAAATTCCGCGATATGATCGGGGAGAATCCGGAAGAATCCTTAAGTATCTGGGAGAAATACCACAGAATCCAAGAGATTTGAAAGAATCTGGGTGAATACACAAATATCCTAGAAAATCTGACAGAATCCGGAATAATCCAAGTGAATCAAAGAGAATCCGACCACATTCCGAGAGGACCGCAGAGAATCCGGAAGAATCCTTAAGAATCCGAGTGAATTAGAGAAAATAATTCGAAAGAATTCAAAATAATACGCTAAAGAATCTGAAAAATGCAAGAGAATCCGAGGGAATCGGAGATGCCAACGAATCCAAAAGAATACGAAAAGAATTCCAGAGAATATAAGAGAATTCGAAAGAATACAAGAGAATGGCCAAATTCCGGGAGGATAAGAGAAAATCCGGAAGAATCCTAGAGAATACGAGAGAATTCGAGAGTATGCGAAAGAAACCGGATGAATATGAAACAATCCGAAAAATCGGACAGAATCTGGAAGTATCCGCTGAATCACAGAGGATCCGAAAATAATTGCAGAGAAATATACACAATTCTGAATAATACAAAAGAATCCCAAAAGATTCAATCCCAAACAATACAAGAGAACCAAAAGAAAGAATACAAAAGAATATGAGAGAATGTGAAAGAATCCGGACGTTTCTGAAAGAATCCAAGAAAATCTGGTAGAATTTATAACTATCCAAGTGAACCAAAGAGAATCTGAAAAAAATAGCAGAGAATTGACAGAATCTTAAATAATATGCAAAGAATCAGAAAAAATATGAGAGAATACAAGAAAGTATAAGAGAATAGGACAAATTCCAAGAGAATCGGGGAGAATCCAGAAGAATCCTTAAGAATCGGGGTGAATGCAAAAATATCCTAGAAAATCTGACAGAACCCGGAAGAATCCGTGTGAATCAGAGAGAATCCAAAAATAATTCGTAGGAATTCAACAAGATCCCAAAGAATATAAAAGAATCCCGAAGAATGCAATGAAAGAATCCAACCAAATTCCTAGAGGACCGGAGAGAATCCGGAAGAATCCTTAAAAATCCAAAAAAATCTGACAGAATCCGGAAGAATGCGAGTGAATCAGGGAAAATAAGAAATTAATTCGAAAGAATTCAACATAATCGGAAATAATAGGCCAAAGAATCTAAAAAATACGACAGAATCCGAGGGAATCGGAGATCCGAACGAATCCGAAAGAATACGAAAAGAATTTCAGAGAATATGAGAGAATTCGAAAGAATACAAGAGAATGACCAAATTCCGAGAGGATAAGAGAGAATGCGGAAGAATTCTAGAAAATACGACGATTCGTGAGTATATGAAAGAATCCGAGAAAATCGGACAGAAGCTGGAAGTATCCGAGTGAATCACGGAGGCTCCGAAAATAATTGGAGAGAAATATTTAGATACAATTCTGAATAATACAAAAGAATTCAAAAAGATACAAGAGAATTCGAAAAAATCCTAAATCCGAGAGAATCCAGAAGAATACGAAAAAAATCCCAAAGAATACAAGAGAACCAAAAGAATACAAGAGAATATAAGAGAATATGAAAGAATCTAAGAAAATCTGATAGAATTTATAACTATCCGAGTGAACCAGAGAGAACCTGAAAACAATTGCAGAGAATTTGACAGAATCTTAAATAATACGCAAAGGATCCGAAAAAATATGAGAGAATACAAGAAAGTATAAGAGAATCGGCCAAATTCCCAGAGGATCGGGAAGAATCCGCAAGAATCCTTAAGAATCTGGGTGAATGCAAAAATATCCTAGAAAATCTGACAGAATCCGGAAGAATCCGTGTGAATCAGAGAGAATCCAAAAATAATTCTTAAGAATTCAACAGGATCCCACAGAATATAAAAGAATCCCGAAGAATGCAAGAGAATATGAGAGAATCCGACCAAATTCCGAGAGGACCGCAGAGAATCCTGAAGAATCCTTAAGAATCCGAGAAAATCTGACAGAATCCAGAAGAATCCGAAAATAATACGCTAAAGAATCTGAAAAAATACGAGAGAATTCGACGGAATCAGAGGTCCGAACGAATCCGAAAGAATACGAAAAAAATCCCAAAGAATACAAGAGAACCGAAAGAATACAAAATAATATGAGAGAATCTGGTAGAATTTAAAACTATCCGAGTGAACTAGAGAGAATCTGAAAACAATTGCAGAGAATTTGACAGAATACAATAAAGTATAAGAGAATCGGCCAAATTCTGAGAAGATCGAGAAGAATCTGGAAGAATACAAAAGAACCCGAGAGGAAACGAAAGAAACTGGCCAAATTCAGTCAAGGGCAAAGAGAATCCGGAAGAATACGAAGCATCCAAGAAGATACGAAGGGAACCGGCCAAATTCGTATAGGATCGGAGAGAATCCAGAAAAATCTTAAGAATTTGGGAGGCATATAATTTGAGAATCTGGATGAATGCGAAAGAATCCAAGGAATTTGACAAGAATCAGAGATAATCCTATAATAATTCGAAAGAATTCAACAGAATCCTAAAAAATACCCAAACAATCCGAGAAAATACGAAGAGAATCCTAAAAGAATCCCAAGGAATATAAGAGAATCCAGAAGAATACAAAAGAATATCAGAGAATCCGACTAAATTCCGAGAGGATAAGAGAGAATTCGAACAAATACGACAATTGGAGAGAATTTGACACTTAAATAAAATGCAAAGAATCCGAACGAATAGGACAGAATCCGAATAAATTCGTAATTCAAGAGAATTCGAAAGAACGAAAGAAAATATAAAAGAATCGACCAAATTTCGAGAGGATTGGGAAAATCCCAAAACAACGGAAAGAGTGTGCAGCAGAGTCCGAAAGAGTCTGAGTGAATAAGAGAATTTTAAAATAATTCCAAAGAAGTCGACATAATCCGAAATGATATACAAAGAGTCCAAAAGAATACGAGAAAATCCGAAAAAATCCAAGTCCCGAGAGTTTTCCAAAGAATACGAAGAGAATCTCAAAAGGATCGCAAAGAATACATGATAATATGAGACAATTCGACCAAATTCTGAAAGGATCGGAAAGAATCCGGAAGAATCCGAGAGATCTTGGAAGAATCTGCATGAATGCGAAAGAATCCAAGGAATTTGACAATAATCAGAGAGAATCCTATAATAATTCGGAAGAATTCAACAGAATCCGAAAAAATACGCAAACAATCCGAGAAAATACGAAGAGAATCCTAAAAGAATCCCAAGGAATATAAGAGAATCCAGAAGAATACAAAAGAATATCAGAGAATCCGACTAAATTCCGAGAGGATAAGAGAGAATTCGAACAAATGCGACAATTGGAGAGAATTTGACACTTAAATAAAATGCAAAGAATCCGAACGAATAGGACAGAATCCGAATAAATTCGTGATTCTAGAAAATTCGAAAGAACGAAAGAAAATATAAAAGAATCGACCAAATTTTGAGAGGATTGGGAAAGCAACGGAAAGAGTGTGCAGCAGAGTCCGAAAGAGTCTGAATGAATAAGAGAATTCTAAAATAATTCCAAAGAAGTCGACATAATCCGAAATAATATACAAAGAGTCCAAAAGAATACGAGAAAATCCGAAAGAATCCAAGTCCCGATAGTATCCGAAAGAGTACGAAGACAATCTAAAAAGGATCACAAAGAATACATGATAATATGAGACAATTCGGCCAAATTCTGAGAGGATCGAAAAGAATCCGAGAAAATCTAACAGAATCCGGAAGAATCCGAGTGAATCAGGGAGAATCCGAAAATAATTCAAACAAATTTAACAGAATGTAAATAATACGCCTCCTACCCACTCTTTATTTTCTTAGAGGGTATATCTTTTACCAAAATCAATCTTATCTTAACAAGTACTAGCCCCGCCCACCCGCCCTCTATTTTCTTACAGGTATGTCCTCTACCACAGTTAGTCTTTTCTTAGCAAGTACTAGCCCCTCCCACCCACCCTTTATTTTCTTAAAGGGTATGTCCATTACCAAAATCAATCTTACCTTAGCAAGTACTACACTGCACCAATTCAAGTTGATAACGTGTCCTTGCAAAAATTTTAATGAGGTCATCACAACTCGAAAATGCTGGATTGTACTTTCGATGTGAGGGAAGTTCTATCAAAACAATTTTTCTTCCTCATTTTGAATTGTCTCTTCCTTACGAAAGCGACACTCTGATTGGCTGCTTGTTTGCACCTCCATATGCATCCGCAGCAGCCAATCAGGCCACTGTTAGTTTACGCCGGTTCAAGTTTCGCCGGGTCAGGGCGTCAAATTTCGCCAACTCGACAGTGTCAACTTACTTTTAGCGCCTGAAGAGGTGCGATGTGCATGGAATTTCCCTCCTTATGAGCATTTGGATGTCTTATGTGTGTTTGATTTTTCGCAGCCTACATTATCCACTGGAAGGGCGAACGGATACCAGTTTTCCGGCCAAATGTCGCTTGCACCAACGGCGTGATCCACGTCATAGATGCACCTTTCTTGCAAGACGGGGATGTACAGGTTAGCAAGGCCGCCGCTCTGGATTTCGCGGGTCATTTGATGATGGTGATGGCTGCCAAATGGTTACTACTATAAACGCGTCCTTTAGTCATAAAACGTGGAAACTTAACGACGAAACCACCGATTTTGTGAAGGGTTGCAGTAGCAGGGAGTAGTTTTTTTTAATGTGGATGATTTCCATTTTCTTGTGTTGTTTATATTGAATGCTGCAATTCTCCACAGCGACGTCAACAATATATCATGACATGAACGACACGACTTTGACTACTCATAATCAATTCTTGCACCAAGACTCGATCCTAATTTTATCAAGTTGTAGGTATTGTTTACGATTTGTACATAAGTCAGTTTTTTATTAGTGAAATTATTTTTGCATTGTATATAAGTAGATTCTAAATTAGACTATTTTTAAAGATTTATATCGATTAAATTATTATGAATTTGGATGTGTCACAGGGGGGGCACTATCAGCGCGAACTTAACCGGTTTACTCGTTCAAATTTATCCTAAGGAGTTTGCTGGAATAGTGCACTTGTGCGCATGACTTCATTATCACGTATTACTGAAGATAAACTGAAGCATTTCAGGAGTTATTTAACAGATGTTCTATCAAAACATATACTATTAATAGATGTTGACAGATTTAAAGATTAAAAAACTTTAACCTATTTATTAAAAAAATTGCCTTCTCATTGAAATTATTTTAAGATGCTATTATTAATCTAAAAAGAAATTTGTTGAATTTGACTGAAAAAAATTGCGAATGTTTTATCTATGATATCTATCAGAGAACTTGTTTATATATACACTATATACGTGAAATCCTTTTGTAGTGCCCTTAAACTTATTACATTCCATAATAAACATTCTCACCACATAAAAACCCATGCTTTGCTTGCATTACCTACTGTAATAGAACTTGAACGGTTTATGTTATATGGTAACTATGTGTAATGTCTGATATTAGAATAAATTGCTTGTAACGCACGATCAACCAAATCTGACCTCACGACGAAAGTGTAAGAGTCCGAACTATATCGAATATCCACCATTGTTTTCAAGGCATACCGCGAGAACAAATTTTCTTGATCATGCGTCACACTAAATAAGTTATTGTAAATAAGTGTGTTTGTGTATAAATGTTCATATTTTTGACAGTAAATGTTTATAAATGTTAGATAATAAAATCTAGGCTAGATAGGTTTTCTTTAACTGCTTTTATGTAGTTTATAAGTAATTATAGATTGGGCACTGAAATGCTTCACATTTACGATACTTAATTGATACGTCGAGGGTTCAAACTTCTAAACACGTCATGTGCACAATTTTTTAAACATAATACTTCACATAGTCATTCGCATTTGAACTCTAGATGTATGAACATAGTTATCACAAACCAAAAATAGCCCGAATTTAATAAGTGTCTCCATATAATATGTAATAGATGTTCAAACATTTATGTTAACAAAAATAGTCCACTAAAAAGATAAATGTACACCCCACCAAAAAACAATGGTACCAAAGTAATCATCAGTATCTGTTATAGAAATCAACAAAATAATGTGTGTTCGATCAAATGTCCACCTGAAGAACTAGTCCAATATAAAATCTATATATACAAAAAATGAATGTAAACTCACTACAAAAGAAGTAACCAATATTCTGTGTACAGGGCATATAGAAAAGAAAAATAATAGCAATTTTGCAAAAAAAGCACTGCCACGACACTACTCAACATGTCTTAGTAGACTATTTATTTATTCTTCGCTTGACTTCACCCTTTCGACTCATTTCGTTTGTTTAGCGTTACCACTTCTATTGTAGCATTGTATAATTATGAGTTCTTTCCAATAAAGCGTTCAGTGCTCCAAGAATGTTGTTTTTGTGACGACTCAGATTCCTGCAGACGCTAGCGTTTCGCGGAAATGAAACTCCACATCAAACATTTAAAACTTTATTTCAACGGAAGACCTCCAAATAGATCAGTGTTCGATTTCCACCACACACTCTCGTTTAGATCTATCTCCGGGCCTTTATACCAGATTTGAAAACCATATTCTACAGCAAACGACAACAATTCAACCTCTGTGGGTAACAATTCAAAACTCAAAATCGACTTGAACGTAGAAGAATTCAGAATCAGATTTAACTTCTGAATCGCTTTAAAACAGTGCAGTGGTGCATTCCCTTCCACGTATAGTTTCTGCTCAGCAAAAATATCAACCAGTGGTAGCTTTAAAGTCATAACGTACATTCCACTGTTCTTGTGGAAGTTCGCGTAAAGTCTTTCTTTGAAGATGTAGTCCGAATTATAAAAGATTCTAGCTGTGGAATAGTTCATAGAAGTAATTTGGTGTACTAAGTGCAAGATATAACCATTTGAAGGACCTTCTACGTATGTAATAACAGAAGTGCCATCGTCTATGGAAAATCCAGAAATGAGGTCATTACATCTGTCGAACGCGATTAGACCTGTTCGTTTCTTCATTAGAAAATTAGGAATCAATAAAGGTGCACCGCCTAGAATACGATGGTTGTACAACATAATCGCCCCCAGAAACAGCTTAGCGACCTCTTTTTTGGACAGTATAACTAGGAGGCGTTTGTAGGTGCCACCAACATCTTTGACATAATACAAAGGAAATACGGGGATTAAGAACCGCGCCTCAAATTTGACGGTGGTGCCATTAAAAAGCATTACAGGACCGGACAGAGGCGAATCGGACACAACTCTGTCCATATTATTAAAATTCACTTCGTTCATAGTATAACGATCCATAAAAAAACACTCAGCCGCAAGTCTGGTCTGCGAAGGTAGTGACTCCAAAGTGTAGCACTGTCCTTTTTCCTTGAATAGGAAAAACGTGCTTGCCAAAGAGCTGAGGTCGAAGGTAGCTCCAGTTAAGTCAAAACTGGTTACAACTGAACCGCGATCGGTCGAACTTTTGCTTGATTTCGACTTCTTGGACTTTTTAGACTTCTTGTCTTTCTTGGTTTTCTTTTTACCTTTCTTCTTTCCACTCTTGTGACTTTGTGGTTGTTCTTTTACACCAATAATCTACACAGATGGGTGAATCATGACTACAAACAAACATGGAGGTTACCTTTGTCGTAACTCGTCGGGTTTCTAAGATCTCCAGAATGTTAATCCAAGGATAATCGGAGGTGATTATGAATCTAGATTCGTCGAAGTGGAGCGTGTTACCTATAGGTCTAAAAGAAGTCTTAAATTGTGTTATTCCAGGAACGTCACAACTGACGTAGACGTTTTTAAACCTAAAATGACATTAAAAAAGCTAGAAGTACTAAAGTAGTCAAACGCACCCTTTTGCTTTTAAATAATCTTCAGGCAAGTTGTTAATTTTCCGAATTTTTACCAACAAAGGGGACAGTTCTAGTTTCTGATCAGTAGTTAAAATGTTGTCACTACTCAGCAAGATATAAAGTTCGTCCAATCTAGTACCAGTGTTCTTCACTTGGTAAAGTGCTAACTCTGGATCAGATAGAAAAACGTGCGCAGGGATTTTAAAGTCCAGTTTCGCCGATACTTCCTTTGCGTTTTTTTTGCCACTTTTGGACTTACTTTTGTTACCTTTTTTACTAGTTTTGCCCTTTTTACTTTTCTTACTGCTCTTGCTCTTTTTACTACCACTCTTCCCACGTTTCTTCTTTCCTTTTTTGTCTGGCTTACCCCCTTTGGTTTTCCCATCGTCACAAAAATCCTTACAATGGATCTCCTGACCAAGTGACCTCTTTGTGACAATTTTGGCAATCTTGTGTGCATGGACGTTGTCTAGAATTTAGAGCTACTTTAACAGTTTTTGCCATACTGACCCTACCCATGTTGTACATCCACGTCACAATTTCACGATTAATCGGAAAAGTTAGCAACTTCTTCCAAATTAAATCCATCTGCTCTTCGTTCGATTTAGGTTTTTTGAGCAACACTTCAGGAAAGTACTCGTTGTTAGCATCGTCTTTGCGCAGATAGAAAACAGAAGTTTTGTCTGAGTGTGCCCTACGACGTTCCTAAATTTTCGTCTACACACATTTAGTTCGCTTACTTTTTTCCGACGTAGCTTTGCCCTATATTCACTTCCAACCTAATCTCCTGTTGGAGCAATTTTCGTATGTCTTCTGTAGTGAGCGGATTTAAATAGTGCTCCAGAAAGACCGGTACCCAAACAACCTCGTCCCTGACGACAGTTTTCAAACATTTAGTGCCATGTTTCGTAAAGATCTGTCAAGAAATCTGTCAGTAAAATTGCGAGACATTCAAAAATCGTACTTTTGCCACCGACTCCCAGCAAACCACATCCACCCCGTATTTGAATTTTTTACCAAACAAATCGTAGTCAATGTGAACGTAACTGATAGGATTTTCCACCGCGATTACAGCGTAAGTTTCGTCTTCTCCGTCCTCTTTTTTTTCCTTCATGTTTTGCGATTTTTTGCTTTTGCCCGATTTTGATTTGTTTTTGCTTTTCGATTTTAACTTAGGTTTGGTCTTGGTTTTAGTTTTTGATTTGCTTCCGATTTTCGATTTCGATTTTCCGCGCTTTTCCTTTTTGCCTTTTTTCCCAGGTTTGTGGGTCGGAATCGGGGCTACTTCTTTCAATTTAATTGCTAATAGGAATGATATCTTCAGGGTTATCATAATTTAAAAAAATCTAAACTACTCCCCCCAATGACGTCGGATTTAGGACTGTGCACTGTGACAGTCGAGTGTCAAGTCGGCACCAGACAGCGGGATTAGATAACAGTGAAATCAAAAGATGGCAATTTTAATACATGAGAATAAAATAAAGGCGGATTCATAAACCACAGGTATAGAAATATGTTATTAGAAAATTTAGATGGCATTTACTTCCCAAAATTTTGAGATGACGCCGTCAAATTGTTGGTGGGGACGATCAGACAAATTTTCATTCAGAATGACACCATAGATGAGAAAAAGGACCTACTTTTTCATGCTCTTGGGGTTCCGAAACGCCTATTACAAAATTCTTATATGAAATATCAAAAGGAACATTTATTTCCCGTTATAAAGAGCGATAATGACTCTTGGAGATTTCAATATGAGTCAAGTCAGGTTATGTCAGGTCAATATGAGATGTCAATATGAGCCAGGATAATCATTATCGCCTTAAAAGTCACGATTATCTTTGTCAATTTTTGAAAGGATGTCCCCCCAAAATAATAAAAACTAGGTAGTCTTATTCCTCGAAAAATTATAAAATTTGATTTTCGTAAATTTTATATTTTTATGATTATAATAAGTTAAATAAAATATAAATAATGCCACTCACAGTGTAAGAAAAAAAGGCCACATAAGCTATTGAATCCATTGGGTGTTCTGATTCGTTCCACTTATATTAGTATTAAAGATTGTTATTAATTTGGACTTTCTGCGAAAATAATGATGCCTACCCAAAAACATCAAGGCGGATTCATAAACAACAAGTACAGGAATGTTTATAAAATTACTTGATTTTCTATGATTCTTTCGGTTTCTGTCAAATTGTCTCAGATTCTCTTGGATTCTATCAGATTCTGAAGGATTATTTTGCATTTTCGCGTATTCTCTGAGTTTCTTCCGGATTCTTCCGAATTCTTTCCGATTCTCTTGGAATTTGATCGGATTCTCTCATATTCTTTCGGTTCTCTTGCAGATTTTTTCGGATTTTTTCGCATTCTTTCGGATTCACTCGTATCTCACATTCTTGCGAATTATTTTCGGATTCTTTCGGATTTTCTGGAAGTCTACAAAATGCCGAAATATGTTAATTTAGTTTTTGGATTCACTGGAATTTTTCTGGATTTCTTCAGTTCTTTGAGTTTTTTGCATTTTTCCCCTTCATCCGATTCTTTACATTTTTTGAATTCCTTCTGTTCGTTCTGTTCTTTGAGTTTCTTGAATTTCCTAGGCGTCTTAGTTTTGGTTGAATTATCGTATTCTCTCGAATTCTTTCATATTCTTCAATTCTTCTCGAATTTAGTCGGACTCTCTCATATTCCCTCGTATTCTTTCATATTCTCTTGGACCCCGGATTTTTTCGAATTCTCTTGGAACTCGGGTTTTTTCGGATTCTCTTGAATTCTTTTCGAATTACCATAATTACTAACCAACTGACCTATGTTATTTTATAAAATTTAAATGGCGTGTTCCAAGTACAAATTGAAGGTGACGTCATTAAAGTTGTTGGTGGGGATTTTTTGTTAGCGTTTTATCAACCACAAGATATTCCTAACATACATATAGGTGTCATCTTGTTTGTTTAAATTTAATTAATAATATAAATTTAAATAAAGAAAATGTTTCCTTTAATCTGAGTCACGTTTTTTTAACGTACTTATAGTCAGTTGCAAGCCTTCTAAAAGAGTATGTATAATGCGAAGCATCGTATTCTAGATTAGATAACCCACAATACGTCAACATCAATATCCCTATGCACTTTGTGTTGCATACCCATCAATGCACAATTTTGCAACAAAATTCCCAATATTTCGACAAAACTCCCACACTGAATATTTTTCGTCGCAAATAAATAAATCCGTTTTCAAAAACCGTAAAAATTTTCATACGAAAACGCCAACCCCTAAAAAATTCCCTCGCGAAAAGTTCGTTTCGCAAACCCGCCGCTTTAAACCCTCACACTCGTGCGTTCATCCCCCGAAAATCCAGCTTTCCCCGTTTTCCTCCCACGAGAAAACAAGAAAAAAAAGTACCAACGCTCATGCCCGGTGTGGCATTTCCGGGAGTTCGCAAATCCCAGCTGTACCTCTGGCGAATTTAAGATGTAGAAGCAATTGGTCCACTCTTTTGGGTACCTCGACCAGAAGGTCCACCTGTCCGCGACCATGAGCAGCCTTTTAGAAAAAGCCGAAGACATCGATTTCGTCACGAAAACGGCAAGTAAGTAAGCCCCCGAACCCCAGGAACGCAAAATTCACACGAAATTTCCCGGTCACATTTCGAAAATCGATAAAGCTCGTGTACCGGTCGAGTGACGCGTAAAAGTGAGGTTATGTCGCGGTATCCATGTTAAATAATTTTTTAAATAAATTAATAACGTCAAAAGCGGGACGAAAATGAGCTCGGGTACGTATCTGGAGCGGTTTTCGCCGCCGATTTTACACGTATTTGCGGATTTCGGTAACGCTGGAGTTACAACTTTGCACTTTTACGCTAATCGATAATTTTCAATTGCGGTACTAAAATGGATTTTTTAACAGTTGAAAGGGACCCGAATAAGCGGAGAGTGAAGCCCGTGGAGACGCAAGCGTCGATCTTGGATTTTGATCTCGAAGAGGAGAGTTCAGATGATTCTGATTTCAGAATCGAGGACCATCCAGAAGTCAGCGACGACGACGACGATTCTGGAAAGAGCAACGACGAAGGTAAGGCGAAATTCGTGCAAAAATGGGCTGATTGCTGATTCGGTCTTTCAGATGACCACAGCACTGAAGAAGAAGAATCCGAAGGATCTGATCTCGATGAACTCAAAAACTTAAATCTACCCAATGGAGATGGGTTGTCCGTCACAGATGTCATCCAAAGGGCGAATTTGCAGCTAAGTGCAGTAAGTTTTGTGGCTCAAAAACACGCTCCTGAACTGCCACATCATTATTGATTTTGAGATATTTTATTCATGGTAGCTCTGAGAACAACCCATCTATTATTAATATTTTTCCAATACTTGTAATTTTAAGTATTTTAAACACAGACACGGGTAGTTGTACTTGTACTTGTGTGCTATAAACACTAAAAAATGGCAGCTGAAAATTTCATTGTGAGTAAACTTAGTTTTAAGTCCTTCTAAAACACAAGTCAGTGTATTTCAAATGGAATTAATTTATAGTTCAATGAAAAGGACGCCCAAATCCTCATCTGCAGCGGCTGTCTGGGCGACCAAAGCGACGGCATCAACGAAATCGTCGAATGCGACAACTGCGGGGTCACCGTACACGAGGCCTGCTATGGGGTTTCGGACTCCGCGAGCCTCGCCAGCACCGATTCGCTATCGCCGACAGCCCCCTGGTTTTGCGAAGCGTGCAAAGCCGGCGTGATGGACCCCATCTGCGAACTGTGCCCCAATTCAGGGGGCATTTTTAAAGAAACCGACGTGGGTAAATGGATTCATCTGGTTTGCGCTCTCTATGTGCCCGGAGTGGCTTTTGGAGAAGTGGATAAACTAACAAGCGTGACTTTATTCGAAATGCCGTACAGCAAATGGGGGGCGAAGAGCTGCAGCCTGTGCCAGGATGACCGGTTTGCGCGGACTGGAGTATGCATTGGGTGCGACGCCGGCATGTGCAAAACGTATTTCCATGTCACGTGGTAGGTGTTTGGGGCCCCGAAACCCGTTTGAAACCCGTTTTTGGGGGTCTATTTCGTCCATTTTGAAATTGAAAATGGCGCGGTTTTAAAAATTACCAGAGATATCACACAGTTTTTAAAAATACATTACTAACGCGATTTATATGTGGACTTACCTCGTTTTGGCGGTATTCAGGTGAAATGCGCCCCAGGTAAATCGCGAAAATCGATTTTAACACCAAATTCGAAAAGAAACGCGAACTACAGCACTCCGAAACTGGTGCTCGTTGCCAACTACAACTTTGTAAAGCGAAATGTTACTAAAGTGGCAATGGTGACTTTTGTTAAATACGACGAATATTAGCAAAATTTGAATAAATCTTAGTTCTGCGTCATTTACAGGCAGTTGGAAATAAATTTGTCGTGTTTACTTTTTCAATTTATGTCGTGGTTTCATATTTTTGATTTTGTTTGGTTAGGCCATTAATTGTGGAAGTGTCTCGAGTGCCACTAACGGTGATCTAATTAGGTGTGACCGGTATTTTTAATTGTCAAAAAATATAATTTCTTTATTTTGTCTCAGTGCGCAACGCGAAGGATTCTTGTCCGAAGCTCATTCGGAAGAAGTCGACCAAGCCGATCCCTTTTACGCACACTGCAAACTTCACTCCGACAAAACCTTAGTCAAACGACGTAAAAAAAATTACCTGGCGTTGCAACTACGAACTCATTATAGAAGACTTCAGTTTGAAAAAGAGGGGCATAAAGACACCCCCGAACAAGTTCGAATCGCACGAAAGTTGGATAAACAGAAAATACATTTTCTGAATCACAAATCTCTCAAGCCGCCACCTTGGGGTACCGTTGCAACTAATACAAATTTGGAATATCTGTATTTGTTTTCTGTATTTGTTTTTTAGTACCGACTCAAAAAATGCCGCGTCTTCTCACAACTAGCGCTTCCGCTTGTCGTAAATTGCTCCGCAAAGCGGGGTTGATGGGCATCAACACTATGGTGTTGGAAATGCAAGAAGCGCAAACCGCCGCCTTGGTGGACGTGCGGAAAAAGTGGCACATTCCTCCGGCTTTCACGGTGGAGTTTATTGCGTACTATTTGGACCGTAACGATCGGGTAAAAGGGATGAAGGACACTCTAGAGAAGCTACTTTTAAGCAACAAGGAGTTGTTGGAGGAACAACAGGACTTGAGGGTGAAGTACGACGAGGTAAGTTTTTGATTTACCCCGTCACAAGAAACATTAATTCGGTTTAAGCTGTTGAAAATTAGTACAGAAGAAAACAAAAAGAACCTCAACTTGAAACAAACTATTCATAAGTACCATTCGGCGATTTTGAGTGCTTGCCCCACGAAAAATCTGCCGAATATCGAGGATTTAGGTAAGCCACCAGTTACAAGAACAACTCAACCTATGATGGTTCCAACAGCCGCCGCTCTAAAAATGGGAGTTGGTTTCCCGTTGAATAATATAATTCCAGCTGGAAGAACCGACAGAGTTCTTAGCAGTCACGCCAAACAAGGTATGTAAACACTAATATTGGTGTAATTTCACCCGTATAGCAACTACCACCACCACGACTAAGTCTTGTTGTTCTAAAGATTCCCTAATGTTGAACGAATGCGGGATTTGCCGGCAAAAACGCGATCAGCACCTCCTCACCAAGTGCGACACTTGTTACTTGTACTATCACTTGAACTGCTTAAATCCACCTCTAACCCGTCTACCTAAAAAATCGAAACTGTACGGATGGCAGTGTTCCGAGTGTGACAAAACTTCCGATTCGGAGATCGAGGAAGTTAAAACTCCGCGACGGAGTAAGAGTAGGTACAGCCGTGAGGCTCGTTCAGACCCAGAAATGTCTACCCCCAAACTCAAAATTAAACCGGTCGAGCCAGAGAAACCCAAGCAGGACGAGAATCAAGATACTCTAACTGAAGTTGTAGTGACACACACTGGCGAAATGAACGGCTTTCAAATGAAAGAGAGTAAAGGGCATGTGTCGAAGTCGGGGAAGAAACGAAGAAGGGAGAAGCACAAGAATCGCTACTCCCCGGAGTTGGGGTCGCCGATGAAGGAACACAAGAGGAAGAGGAAGAAGAAGAGCTTTGATTTGGATGAGCCGATGCCACATCCGAGAATCACCATAAAGGTAATAGTACAAACTGGTCAAAAAAAAATTGAGTTTTTTGTATGTAGATCAAACCCATTCCGTTGCCAGCGGGCGAAGTGGCGTCAGAATCGAATCCTCAGTGTTTCTATGTACCGAACGACGAGGATGACAACGGTCCACCCCCAATTTCGCTCAAAGTTATTACATTACCAGAGAAAGAAAAAACTCCACCGCTGAGAACCACTCCAAAAGAAAAACCCGTGGAGAGTAGCAGCGAAGCTTGCGATGTCTGCCACACCGCCACTTTGGCTAATAATGCAGTGAGGTGCGTTTGGTTGTGGGTCAAATTGGCGTGGTTTTTAGATTAAATTTCAGATGTGACGACTGCCAGAAAGTTTACCATTTCACTTGTTTGGATCCTCCGTTGAAGAAAAGTCCGAAAAAGAGGGGGTATTCGTGGCATTGCGCCGATTGTGATCCAACGGTGAGTTAGAGCCAGCTTTGAATCAAAATATTTTCGATTTGAATGATTTTAATAACATTTTTTTCAGGGCTCCGAATAATTCTTTAGTTACATTAAATGTAAGCATTTGTACTCATCGTAATAAAAATAAAATATTTTAACTACGAGTTTATTTACTAAAATTATGAATGCAGTGTTGTGATTGGTGGAACTGTGGCGATCGACAACCAATCACACGTACGATTGCAATGAGCCGACCTTTCACTATGTCATTGATAAGAATGGAGAGGACTGGTACAGTCGCACGCAAATGTTTTGAGCCTCTGGGCGGATCATTTTTGCCGGTCGTCACCGAAGGAGGCGGTCCAAATCGTCCAAGGGCAGAATTTGTAGGTAGGCTCAAACTACAACGAAATTTACGTGTTGACCAAATTCTTACCCTGAATTAGTTTTAATTTTATAAATACCCTATCTAAAATGTTCAGAATATGATGAGTCTATACTTGTGATTTACCATTCCATTAATATTTTTTGGATTTGTTTATACATACAGGGTGACTCAAAAAAAAAATGACTGAGTCAATTTATTTTATTGAAGAAATCAAGAATTGCTCTAATAACATCGAGAATATGCTCAAAATCACACTAATATTAGGTGTAATTGTGCCGACCATAGTTATAAAATTCACATTAAAGTAAGTCACGGACATTTTTTGAAGTGTACTACATTTCAAAAAGCTAAAAAAATGTTCAGTTTATAAACTTCTTAATTTTGGTTTAAAGTTTATCAATCATATTTGACGCTTTATTTTATCCGCTCCATTTGTTTTTCTTTACTGCGGTCTCTCTTGGGTCGAGGTGTAACATCGGACCGAACGTTCCGATTACTTCCGACATCTTTTCGCTGACAAATTTAATCTTTGCATACTTCAGCGTAGTTAGTGAACTCGTTGTGACCACTGAAATATACAAAGAGTAAATTTTGAAATGGAACGAAAGTCGAAGAATACTTTCAAAGCCACGATCAAAATGTATTTGCTTATCTTCGCCAAAAAATGCATGACGTCATCGTAAAATTTGATATGATGAGTCTATACCTGTGATTTATCATTGCAATAATATTTTTTAGATTTACTTCTACAGCCTGTCTCAAAAAAAGGTCACTTCGATTTTCGATTTTTCGTTTTTTCGACCAACAGTTTCATCGAATTAGATTTTTCAGTTTCCATTTTTCTATCAACTTTTAGATTTTATTACTTCCTAATTTTCTGATTTTTCAAATTTGCGGTATTTTGATTTTTCGAGTTTTCAGTTTTTTCGTGTTTCGATTTTTTAATTTTTCGTTTTTTTGATTTTTCGATGTTTCGATTTTTTAATTTGCCATTCTTTCAATTTTCGATTTTTCGTTTTTACATTTTTAGATTTTTTGATTTTTCTGTTCGTCAGTTTTTAGACTTTGCAATTTTTTTGCATTTTTCGATTATATTTTACTTTCCGATTTTTTTGATTTTTGAATTCTCGATTTTACGTTTTTAATTCTTCGATTTCCGATTTTTCAATTTTCCGGTTTTTTAATTCTTCTATTCCCGATTTTTCGATTTTCCATTAATCATAAAATTTTTCGATTTTTCGGTTGTTTTATTTTTCGACCTTCGATTTTTCAACTTTCGATTATTCGATTTTCCATTTTCTGATTTTACGATTTTTTGATTTGCGATTTTTCTGTTTGTTTCAGTTTTTATGGTTCTGCAATTTGCAGCTTTTAGATTTCAATTTTATTACTTTCCGATTTTCCACTTTTCGATTTTTTGATTTTTTTTCGATTTTCATTTTTTCGATTTTTTGATTTTTCAGTTTTTAGGCCTTGCAATTTTTTTACTTTTCGCTTTTTCGAGTAGTTGTTTCATCGAATTTTCGATTTTTCGAGTTTTCGATTTTCGGTTTTTCCATTTTCCGATTTTCGATTTTTCGATTTTCCATGTTTAGATATTTTTCGATTTTTTTTATTTTTCGATTGTTCTGTTCGTCAGTTTTGAGACTTTGCAGTTTTTACTTTTTCACTTTTCTATTATTTTAGTTTCGGATTATTCGATTTTTGAATTTTTGGTTTTTTTTTTCGTTTTTCAATTTCCGATTTTTTAATTTTTCGATTTTTCGGTTTTTTAATTTGTCGATTCTCGATATTCCGATTTTCGATTTTTCGATTTTCCAATCTTCGATTTTTCAATTACCAATTTTCGATTTTCCACTTTTTGATTTTACGATTTTTCGATTTTTCTGTTCGTCAGTTTTTAGGCTTTGCAATTTGTTTACTTTTCGATTTTTCGATTATTTTACTTTCCAGTTTTTTGATTTTTCAATTGTCGATTTTTAGAGTTTTCAATATTATGAATTTTCGAATTTTCGGTTTTCCTATTTTTCGATTTTTGATTTTTCCATTTTTCGGTTTTTTGATTTTTCAATTCTCGGTTTTTCAATCTTGCGAGTTTTCAATTTTTCAGATTTGTGATTTTCCAGTTTTTTGATCGACCTACGTATTAGATTCCTTGAATTTTCGATTTTCGGTTTTTCCATTTTTAGATTTTTGATTTTCCAGTTTTGCATTTTCAGATTTTCTGTTTTTCGTATATCTGATTTATCAAATTTTCGATTTTTCGGATTTTCGATTTTTCGATACTTCGGTTTTTAGACTTCAATTTTCTTTCTTTTAAATTTTTCGATATTCTATTTTCCGCTTTTCATAATTTTCGATTTTCAGTTTTCAGACTTTCGATGATTAGAATTTTGGATTTTTCAGTTTTATGATTTTTCGATTTTTAGAAAATTTTAGTAGTCGAATTTTCGATTTTTCAATTCATCGATTTTTCTATGTTCAATTTTTCAATTTAAATTTTGCGATTTTCAATTTGTCCATTGTCGATTTTTAGAATTTTCGGTTTTTCAATTTTTCCATTCTCAACTGTTAGATTTCAATTTTGTTACTTTCCGATTTTTTGGTTTTCGATATTCCAATTTTCAAAATTTCCAAGTTTCTTTATTCAGATTTTCCATTTTCCACTTTTTCGATATTAGATTTTTCGAATTTTTGTTTTTCCAATTTTTTGCTTTTTCGATTTTTCTGTTCCTTTCAGTTTTTAGGCTTTGCAATTTTTTTTTACTTTATATATTTTGATTATGTTAATTTCCGATTTTTTTTTATTTTTGTTTTTGATTTTTTTAATTTTCGATTTTAGAAATTTTTGACTTTTCGATTTTTTGGTTTTCCCGTTTTTCAATTTTCGATTTTTCGATTTTTGAGATTTGTGAATTTCGACTTTTCGATCGACCTAGGTATTTGATTCATTGAATTTTCGATTTTTTGATTAGCCATTTTTAGATTTTCGATTTTTACGATTTGTATTTTTCGATTTTCTGTTTTTTGCATTAGTGAATTTCAGTTTTTCCGATTTTTGATTTTGCGCATATTTGATGAATCAAATTTTCGAAAAAGTTACCATGCTTACAAAAACTTAAAAACATCTACAATATTTCAAAGTATTCAGTTTTGCTATTCTTGATTTCTTCAATAAAATAAATTGACTCAGTCATTAACTTTTTTGAGACACCCTGTATAACCAAATCTAAAAAATATTAATGCAGTGATAAATCACAAGTATAAAACTCATCATATTTTATACATTTAAGGTAGGATTTATTCTGCAAAATTTTGAGGTGACGTCATAAATTTTTTAGAGGGGATAAGCAAATATATTTTAATTAAAAATGTATCATGTTTATCATGATTTTAAAACATCTGCAAGATTTCAAAGTATTCGATTTTGCAAATTCAAAATTAAATTGCAAAATATTGTTTTATAATTTTGATTTTTTTTTTTTCCAAAAATCTGGACGTTTTGGATAAAAACTCAACACGGAGTCATAAACTACATGTGTAGGACTATGTTACTGTATACAATTTAAAACCCATTTACTATGCATAAATTTGAAGTGACGTCATCACATTATTGGTGGGGATGACTAGACAAATTTAATAATTTTTGCGACATTTATGAAAAAAATATCAGTTAACAAAAATGGCACGTTTTTATTATTATGCCAGTTACATGTCACTCAACGACAACATCGTTTTTTTTAAGAGTATTTTATTTGAAAAAGTGATGAAATTTTTGATACGGAACAATTGGTCGAAAGATGTTAGAAAGCAAAATAATTCATGTCCGGACCATCGTTACTCACGAACGAAAGTGACCATTATTTTATAGGAACAACTACCTGCTAAATCTTCTCCGACAAATTCGAGAGAACTGGTGTGAGCCATAAATATTTTTTACCAAATGTATATATAACTACTGTCCGTCCCGTTATTGTCAATAAAATTTTATAAGGTAAAATGTGAATTTCGTTGTAGTTTGAGCCTACCTACAAATTCTGCCCTTGAAGGATTTGGACCGCCTTCTTCAGTGAGGGCAGGCAAAAACGATCCGCCCATAGGCTCAAAACATTTGCGTGCGATTGTACATGGATACACCTTGCCCATAAATTCCACTTTGTTTTACCCAATTTTGTAACAAATAGCCCCCTGGGAATATTTATGTCTTACAAAAAATGAAACTGCGATTTGTTAAATGATTCGGACGTTTCAGATTTAATCCGATAATTAAAAATTAAAGCTTGAATCGTTCGTTTTGGGTTATGTTAGTTTGCAGTCGAAACGTCAAAACATGGCATCCAGTCCAACTGACGTGACGCTGAAAACTGACGCACGCATGCGCACTGAACAGTTCCGCTTTTAATATATTAGGAGTGGTTTTATAAATAAAATACGCTACAGTGTTTCAACATTTAATGCAGAATTAAGTGAAAATATTATAAATGCATGTTCAGCAGCTTTTCCAAGCTATTTATGGTTTACAATGGTTCAAATAGCGCGGGTACAAACAAACTTCTCTAATATGGTACCGGTTCAACAACCAGCAGACGAACCTCTCCAACCCGAGACCATAACCACCATGTGGACAAGTCCCGTATTTCCTCTGATCCGTATACCAGAAATACGGAGTAGGATCAATCCCCTCCCTTTTATACCCAGCCATCAACTCTTCCAAATCGTAAATCCTCATGGACCCACCCACGATTTCGCCGACGTTGGGTAACAAAACATCAACGCTCTCAGTCAGACGGTTGTCTTCAGGACATCTAGGCATATAGAAGGATTTAATTTCGGCCGGGAAGCGACACAACATAATCGGTTTGTTGATTTGATCAGTCATTTTGCGTTCAGGCATTTCTGGAATGTCCTATACATTTTATTAGTAGTGTTTTTAGTAACAAAAACGAAACAAACCTCGCCGAATTCATAAAATGAGCCATCATCTTTCGTGATGTTGTTCTTCTTTAAGTACTCAATAGCTTCAGTGTAGTTCATTCTAAGGAACGGCCTTGTTGGAATTTGGAAGTTAGGGTTCAGTTCGTATACAATGTCGGCGTAGGGTGACTTAAGCACTCGATCTACGACGTCACAAATCAAGTCCTCCAGACGGTCGAGTAAGTCGTCGAAATTTATGAAGGGGCACTCAGCTTCCACGTGTGTGTATCTGATGATTAAAATTGTGTGAAATGTTACTTAAGTTAAGTACTTACTCTGCTAGATGTCGTCTAGTTCTGCTTTGTTCCGCTCTGAAACTTTCCGCTACGCAAAAAACATCACCCATGGATGGTAAACACGTTTCTAAGTATAGTTGAGAGCTTTGTGTCAAGTAGGCTTCTTCCCTATATACAAAGTTTAGTTGACTTAACAAAAAGTGACTTAAGTAAGTACCCGAAGTAGTCGAGTTTGAATAAAGTTGAGCCTCCTTCGCACTGCGTTTGAACGATTGACGGTGGTGTCACTTCGCAGTAACCCCGATCCGCATAGTGGTCTCTACAAATTTTTTTTTTTACATATTTTTCGCACTAATTAAATTTATAAATTACCTAAACGCCTGAAGAAGAACCGACCTCATTCTCAAAACTTTGGACGTGTTTTCGCCACGAATCATGATATGTCTATTTTCGGCCTGTACATCTGGCAACGCTTGCTCGTTTAGTATGGCGTCGGCTCCACCAGGTGGCGCTATTCCGATCAACTCCCAGAAATCAACAATCAATTCGTGTCCACCGGGGGCCTAAACACTCAAATCAATTTAAAAAAACACAAATGTGTCAAAAATTACGCTTTTTCCCTCTGGGACTTCCTTCAATGTACCGTACAACAAAACGGACGACTCGGTTGACAACACTACAGCGTTGTAGGTTTGACATAGCGTGTCACTTAAAACGCTCTGCAAAAACCCAGTACCATCCCGTAACGTAATGAACATCAAATTTTTGCCCTGTCGTCTCAACCGGTGCACCCAACCATAAATTTTGACCCTTTGGTCTCTATATTCTTTCCCTGTGACAATTATTTATTTATTGTTGTTAAATAACGCCAGATCTTTCATACCTTGACAAACTTTCACCCGTTTCGCCACTGCTAAGGACTTATCTTCACTAATTATAACCTTTTTCGCTTCTTCCAAATTCTTCTCGCGTTTAGCGGCGTCTTCTTCCTCTCTTTTATTGGCTTCCACTTGTTTGTAAGACTCCCTAACCCAAATTTTGTTGTTTTTTTTCAATTGAGTTTTAGACGCGGGTTCGAATTTCGCGCCTTCTTTCCCGTCCACGAAGATGGTAGGAAATGGTTCTTTACCAGCGTGCCGCATGGCGCGGAGGATGGTTTTGAACGGTTTGTCTTGGGTGCCAAGACCGGTTTCGTCATTGCCGTGTTGCTCAGACGTGTAAATTGCTGCAAAAGTTGAGTTTTGTGCCGTCAAGGTGGTATTTCTTTGAATACACCACGAATGCCAAACTGAAGATGCGAAAGTTACTGAATGTCGAATTTTAGTGAGACACCCTGTACATGTGGCCGCATAGGAACGTCAAAATACACGACAGAAATAATTTCAAAATCAATATAAATGATAACAAAGATAAATTTTACTGATGTAAACTAAATCATTTCAACTTTTTTTTTTTATTTAGCCGCATCCACGCCTGGTCCGAGTATAGGTTAACCAAAAGTACTCACGATTTTCGCTTTCCCCGGGCATTTTTGCTCACGATTTCCGCAAAAAAATCTTCTGTAATAAAGTGCAACGAGATGTCACAAATGCAAGAGATTTCTGATGCAATTTTCCTCCTATTTCGTATTTATTGCAGGATAAACGTCGCCGGCGACGTCACTTTTGACATATGACATATGGGGGGCGGAAGTGGCTATAGTCCCGTTTCTGTCGCGTCATTGGTTGATTTTTGACAGCCAATCGTTTGCATTTGTTTGGTCAGGGTCGGTGTAAGGAGGGTGCCAAAATATTAATCGCACAACAATTAAGGCAAAAAGTAAACAGTGACTGTTATTGTTAATGTTTGGAGCCGCACATTCGCAAGGTTTTACGATCACTCGAGGTAAGGTTCGTTCTATTTTTCGTGCACGAAATGTCCCAAAACGTGCTATTTTGAGCCTCTTTTATTTTAGAATCAACACCTGACAATTGCTCTCATAAAGCATGGGGTTTTGAAATAGTACCTAATTTGGTAATTTTGTTTAGGTTAGGTTGAGTGGCAGTGGAAGAATGGATCGGTATAGGGAAACCGGGCAAGTGGACCCTGACTATGAGAGCTACAATTCGGCTGTGGAATTAAACGAAGAAGAAGGTAAACACGTGTGAGTGACAACTATATTTACCAAGTCAGTATTTTTCTAGATAAACGGGAGAACCTAACGAAAATAAAAAAAATCATTGAGGATGAATATAGCAAACAAATCACCCAAAGGCACGAACAGATCGAGCAAGTAGAGCTTCAGATATTTAAAGTCCGCAAACTTTTACACTTGTTACGTTACGCTTTGATTATGTCGTACTATAAAAAGAAGGAATTGGAGTACAGTGGGACTGAAGAGGAACCGTCGACGTCTGACACCCTCGTCGTTCCGGATAAACAAAACCGGATTCACCCGGCTGTTAAAAAACTTCTAGGCCGAAATGTCAACAGCCTTGACCATTTAAGTGTTAGAGATAAACGCAAAGTTATTCCTAAATACAATCTCGTACATAAAGCAACTGAACCACCGACAAATGTACCAGAAAGTAAAAAAATCAAATTGGATGAGAGTGTGTGTCAAAACGCTGAAAAAATCGTGGAGTTGCCAACCGTTGAGCACGAAAAGCCCCTGGAGTTTATTAGAAGTCGCAAAAAGACGAAGTACAGGGTTGTAGTCGGTAATATTTCAAAATGGATGCCGTCATCAGAGGACGACATTTTGACACACAAGTGGATGGTGTACGTAAGGGGACCAAAAGACAAGCCTGACGTTTCTCATTTCATCGATAAAGTCGTTTATTATTTGCATCCGTCATATAAACCTCATGATGTCGTTGAGGTTAGGTAAGTTATAGTCGCCATTTTGTTGGAGTTGTCAATTGTGACGTATGAGTTGCGCAGTCACGTGACATCAAGTATGTACAATCGCACGCAAATGTTTTGAGCCTATGGGCGGATCATTTTTGCCGGTCGTCACCGAAGGAGGCGGTCCAAATCGTCCAAGGGCAGAATTTGTAGGTAGGCTCAAACTACAACGAAATTTACGTGTTGACCTAATTCTTACCCAGAATTAGTTTTAATTTTATAAATACCCTATCTAAAATGTTCAGAATATGATGAATCTATACTTGTGATTTACCATTCCATTAATATTTTTTGGATTTGTTTATACATACAGGGTGACTCAAAAAAAAATAATGACTGAGTCAATTTATTTTATTGAAGAAATCAAGAATTGCAAAACTGAATACTTTGAAATCTTGTCAATTCGTTAGAAAAAAAAAAAACCTGTCCTGCTCTAATAACATCGAGAATATGCTCAAAATCATACTAATATTAGGTCTAATTGTGCCGACCATAGTTATAAAATTCACATTAAAGTAAGTCACGGACATTTTTTGAAGTGTACTACATTTGAAAAAGCAAAAAAAATGTTCAGTTTATAAACTTCTTAATTTTGGTTTAAAGTTTATCAATCATATTTGACGCTTTATTTTATCCGTTCCATTTGTTATCCTTTACTGCGGTCTCTCTCCGAGGTGTAACATCGGACCGAACGTTCTTCGGTTTTCGGTGACAAATTTAATCTTTGCATACTTCAGCGTAGTTAGTGAACTCGTTGTGACCACTGAAATATACAAAGAGTAAATTTTGAAATGGAACGAAAGTCGAAGAATACTTTCAAAGCCACAATCAAAATGTATTTGCTTATCTTCGCCAAAAAATGCATGACGTCATCGTAAAATTTGATAAAAATATTATTGAAATTGATTTATCATTGCAATAATATTTTTTAGATTTACTTATACAGCCTGTCTCAAAAAAAGGTCACTTCGATTTTCGTTTTTTCGACCAACAGTTTCATCGAATTAGATTTTTCAGTTTCCATTTTTCTATCAACTTTTCGATTTTATTACTTTCTAATTTTCTGATTTCTCAAATTTGCGGTATTTTGATTTTTCGAGTTTTCAGTTTTTTCGTTTTTCGATTTTTTAATTTTTCGTTTTTTTGATTTTTCGATGTTTCGATTTTTTTTGCAATTATTTCAATTTTCGATTTTTCGTTTTTCCATTTTTAGATTTTTTGATTTTTCTGTTCGACTTTGCAATTTTTTTGCATTTTTCGATTATATTTTACTTTCCGATTTTTTTGATTTTTGAATTCTCGATTTAACGTTTTTAATTCTTCGATTTCCGATTTTTCAATTTTCCGGTTTTTTAATTCTTCTATTCTCGATTTTTCGATTTTCCATTAATCATAAAATTTTTCGATTTTTCGGTTGTTTTATTTTTCGACCTTCGATTTTTCAACTTTCGATTATTCGATTTTCCATTTTCTGATTTTACGATTTTTCGATTTGCGATTTTTCTATTTGTTTCAGTTTTTATGGTTCTGCAATTTGCAGCTTTTAGATTTCAATTTTGTTACTTTCCGATTTTTCACTTTTCGATTTTTTGATTCTTTTTCGATTTTCATTTTTTCGATTTTTTGATTTTTCAACTTCTAGGCCTTGCAATTTTTTTACTTTTCGCTTTTTCGAGTATTTATTTCATCGAATTTTCGAGTTTTCGATTTTCGATTTTTCAGTTTTTCCATTTTCCGATTTTCGATTTTTCGATTTTCCATGTTTAGATATTTTTCGATTTTTTTTTTATTTTTCGATTGTTCTGTTCGTCAGTTTTGAGACTGCAATTTTTACTTTTTCACTTTTCTATTATTTTAGTTTCGGATTATTCGATTTTTGAATTTTCGTTTTTTTTTTCGTTTTTCGATTTCCGATTTTTTAATTTTTCGATTTTTCGGTTTTTTAATTTGTCGATTCTCGATATTCCGATTTTCGATTTTTCGATTTTCCAATCTTCGATTTTTCAATTTCCAGTTTTCGATTTTCCACTTTTTGATTTTACGATTTTTCGATTTTTCTGTTCGTCAGTTTTTAGGCTTTGCAATTTGTTTACTTTTCGATTTTTCGTTTATTTTATTTTCCAGTTTTTTGATTTTTCAATTGTCGACTTTTAGAGTTTTCAATATTATGAATTTTCGAATTTTCGGTTTTCCTATTTTTCGATTTTTGATTTTTCCATTTTTCGGTTTTTTGATTTTTCAATTCTCGGTTTTTCAATCTTGCGAGTTTTCGATTTTTCAGATTTGTGAATTTCCAGTTTTTTGATCGACTTACGTATTAGATTCATTGAATTTTCGATTTTCGGTTTTTCCATTTTTAGATTTTTGATTTTCCAGTTTTGCATTTTCAGATTTTCTGTTTTTCGCATATCTGATTTATCAGATTTTCGATTTTTCGGCTTTTCGATTTTTCGATATTTGATTTTCGAATTTTCGATTGTTCAGTTTTCCATTTTTCAGCTTTTAGACTTCAATTTTTTTACTTTTCGATTTTCCAAATTTTCGAGTTTCAATTTCCAGATTTTGGATTTTTCGATTTTCTTTTTAAATCTTTGAATTTTTCGGTTTTGATTTTTCGAATTTTTGACTTAATTTTTCCATTCTTCGGTTTTTAGACTTCAATTTTCTTTCTTTTAAATTTTTCGATATTCTATTTTCCGCTTTTCAGAATTTTCGATTTTCAGTTTTCAGACTTTCGATGATTAGAATTTTGGATTTTTCAGTTTTATGATTTTTCGATTTTTAGAAAATTTGAGTAGTCGAATTTTCGATTTTTCAATTCATCGATTTTTCTATGTTCAATTTTTCAATTTAAATTTTGCGATTTTCAATTTGTCCATTGTCGATTTTTAGAATTTTCGGTTTTTCAATTTTTCCATTCTCAACTGTTGGACTTCAATTTTGTTACTTTCCGATTTTTTGGTTTTCGATTTTCAAATTTTCAGAATTTTCAAGTTTCTTTATTCAGATTTTCCATTTTCCACTTTTTCGATTTTAGATTTTTCGAATTTTTGTTTTTCCAATTTTTTGATTTTTCGATTTTTCTGTTCGTTTCAGTTTTTAGGCTTTGCAATTTTTTTTACTTTATGTATTTGATTATTTTAATTTCCGATTTTTTTTATTTTTGTTTTTGATTTTTTTAATTTTCAATATTACAAATTTTTGACTTTTCGATTTTTTGGTTTTCCCGTTGTTCAATTTTCGATTTTTCGATTTTTGAGGTTTGTGAATTTCCACTTTTCGATCGACCTAGGTATTTGATTCATTGAATTTTCGATTTTTTCATTAGCCATTTTTAGATTTTCGATTTTTACGATTTGTATTTTTCGATTTTCTGTTTTTTGCATTAGTGAATTTCAGTTTTTCCGATTTTTGATTTTGCGCATATTTGATTAATCAAATTTTCGAAAAAGTTACCATGCTCACAAAAACTTCAAAACATCTACAATATTTCAAAGTATTCGATTTTGCAAATTCAAAATTAAATTGCAAAATATTGTTTTATAATTTTGATTTTTTTTCCAAAAATCTGGACGTTTTGGATAAAAACTCAACACGGAGTCATAAACTACATGTGTAGGACTATGTTACTGCATACAATTTAAAACCCATTTACTATGCATAAATTTGAAGTGACGTCATCACATCATTGGTGGGGATGATTAGACAAATTTAATAATTTTGCGACATTTATGAAAAAAATATCAGTTAACAAAAATGGCACGTTTTTATTATTATGCCAGTTACATGTCACTCAACGACAATATCGTTTTTTTTTTAAGAGTATTTTATTTGAAAAAGTGATGAAATTTTTTATACGGAACAATTGGTCGAAAGATGTTAGAAAGCAAAATAATTCATGTCCGGACCATCGTTACTCACGAACGAAAGTGACCATTATTTTATGGGAACAACTACCTACTAAATCTTCTCCGACAAATTCGAGAGAACTGGTGTGAGCCATAAATATTTCTTACCAAATGTATATATGACTACTGTCCGTCCCGTTATTGTCAATAAAATTTTATAGGGTAAAATGTGAATTTCGTTGTAGTTTGAGCCTACCTACAAATTCTGCCCTTGAAGGATTTGGACCGCCTTCTTCGGTGAGGGTAGACAAAAACGATCCGCCCATAGGCTCAAACATTTGCGTGCGATTGTACATAGTTAAATTATAACAAATTTTAGCGAATCTCCGTTTCATTTGTCACGACGAGGCTGGGGCGAGTTTCCCGTACGAGTACAAATTTTTTTCAAAGTAACCTTAAACAAACCAATAGATATAGTGCACAATATAAAACTAGATAAAACGTACAGCGGTAGACAAACGCTAGGTAACGAAACCATCATAGATGTGTTTCTCTATGACGAAAACACCCATCATTCACAAATCGAAACCGACCCCAATAACATTCCCGAGGAAATCGATGTTCAAACTATAAAGCCTGAAGAACACGATATTAAAATCGAAGTGACAGAACATGATTATTGTTCCGACGTAAACGACACCAATGAAGAAATGAACGTGGATCATTCGTACTGTTTGCCTGCCTCACACGAAGGTCTACCCAAGGCCCAAAAAGAAAAAATCGAACAAGACGAAAGCAATAAGCTCATCTATGGTTTGGAAACGTACTGTCGGGAAGAAAACAGGTCAACGAATAAACCAATCCCAACTAATAATATCAAACAACTGATACAATTGAACAGAAAAGACATCAAGTTCAACAATACTAAAATAATCGTGTTTGGAAAAAAAGTAGAAGGATCTTTTTTAGCGAAGTTGGGGAAGTTGATACAAGTTCCGAGTCGTAACGCGGTTTCGACCAATAAGGAAACGCGAAACTTTAAAGTGACTTTACCAAAGAACCGGCTGAAGAGTATGGGGGAGGCGCTGCCGTACTTGTTTAAGAGGCTCCCTCTGTATAGCGATTTAGCAACGAATGTAAATTATAAGCGAATGTATCCGTTCACTGCGCCGAGTTTGAAGGAGTTCGTGAGTTGGAACGTGGCGAAGAGGAGAAGTTCCGAGGTTTGTTCAAACAATGGCGCCATTTTGTTGATTGTTTGATTTGTATTTCCAGTGGAGTCGCGCTAGAACCATTAAAAAAATCCTCCTCGAGGAAAAAATCCAAGGGATCGAGAGTTGGAACACCAAAACTATTTTAATGTATGGACGATCACATGACTACACCCCGTTTATTTCGTACGGCTTGTTCAATAGGGACTCTGAAGAGAAAAACTTATTAATGTGTTGTTATTCAGGACAGGGCTTGAAAAATGACGCTAGAAGTGTTGTTGACGACACGCATGACGTCAACGTGGATGTAGATTCGGACACCGGTATACAAAATTCTATTGTTTGTATTTTTTTTTATTTGATTTTTTTTGTTAGAAATGTCATCGTCGAAAAAAGTCGTTGACTTGATCGACATTTCCGACCCACACACCAAAATGGAGTGTTCCTACATTCGACAAGCCGCCCGAAATTCCGGCTTTGTTCTCAAACCAGAGGAAATCGTCGAAGGTGTGAAGGTTAATGGTGCTGAAATGATGATTCTAGAAGCTGTTAAATGCTTCGCCGAGAATTTAATAAGAAGGGCTAAGAATCATAGAGTTTGTACGCGAACACCTAGGTTTGTATAATAAGGAGTGTGGAAATCACAACTAAGCATGTTTTTCAGTCCAACCACTAGTGCTATTAATAGGGAGGATGTAGAAGTGGCTATAAACGAGCGACCGGAGATGTTCCATTTCCGACAGTTGACAAACGAGAGAAGAAATGATTATTTCTTCTAACACTGACTGTTTATACCAATCATGTCCATTCTTATGTGATTAAATATATTTTTTTAAATGTTTGCGACGTTTTGATTGGACCCAATGCAACAAATTGGTGCGCATGCGCACCACTTTATTGTTTTAATCAGAGGCTGATTTTGCAAAACCACCCTTATTGACATTGGAATCCTCAACCGTCAAAGACAAGCGCCAAATTTAAATAGTCGATGCCAATAAAAAAACTTGTTTCTCTACAACTCGTCGCCTGAGAACTTGTTTGATCTACAGACCAGAGCGCGCTCAGGCCAATGTCGACTCTAAGCGTTCAGAAACGATTTGGTTGGTTTGGACTATAATTTAAATAGTTGTTTGATCGGTTTTTATTTATTTAGACGATTTTACATATTTTATTTAATTAAGAATTATTTCTTTATTTGTGTTTTATACTAGCAAAACGTCTTAAACTAAGAATATTGTTGAAATCGTAATAACCCAATGGATTTTTTTGGGGAAAAAGTTTTGGAAACACTATGTTCTATTTTGTATGAATGTTTAAATGTTTTTAATGACAATTTTTGTGGTTGTTTTCGATACACAGTATGATATTAACAGTGAGAAAAAAAATGGAAAATTAAAATAATCGAAAAATCGAGAAATCTAATAATCGAAACCTTAAAAAATCGTAAAAACGAAACATTGAAAACTCGAAATATCGAAGAACTGAAAATCGAAAAATGAAACATCAAAAAATCAAAAGACCAACAAATGGTGGAGTCGAAAAGTCGAACTGAGAAACAGAAATAGGCCAAAATCGAAATATCGAAAAGTTAAAAATTGAACAATTTATAAATTGAGAAATTGACAATCAAAATATCGAAAAATCCAAATCTCGACAAATCGAGAAATCGAAAAGTGATGAAGTCGAAAAATAGAAAAATCGACAAACAAAAAGTTAAAAGTTGAAAAATTGGAAAAGCGGAAAAATCAAAAAACGAAGAAATAGAAAACTAAGAAACCGAAAACCCGAAAAATCAAATCTCGATAAATCGGGAATGAAAAATTAACAAATCAAAAAATTGAAAAGCAAAACATCTAAAACCAGGAAGTCGAAAAATCGAAAGAGTAAGAAATATTGAAAAATTAAAATATCAAAAGATTGAAAATCTAAAATTTAAAAATCCAAAAATTGAAAAATCGAAAAAGTAAAAAGGCAGACACATCGAAAAATCCAGAAGTCAAAAATAGGAAAGCCGAAGAATTGAAATATTGAAAAATCCTAAAACTGAAAAATCGAAAAATCAAATAAGTGAAGTCGAAAAATAGAAACCTTAAAAAAATTAAAAATAGAAAACTCGAGAAAATCAAATCGAAAAATCGAAAAGTTCGAGTTGGACATGTGAAAAACTGAAAAATTTAAACTTAAAAACTCAAAAAATTACAAATCGAAGAACTAAAAAAACCAAACACTGAAAAATTTCATATTGAAAAAAAGAATTATAAAATCAGAACATTGAAAAACCCAAAAATTGCAAAATATGAAAATTGAAACAAATCGAAAAAACGAAAAATTGAATATCGGAGAATTCCAAAATCTAAAAATTGAAGAAATGATTAAAATGAAAAATTGAAAAAACAAAAAAATTATAACCTCGAAAGATTGAAAAATCGAAAAATCGCAAAATTAAGAATTGAAAAATCGAAAAACTGAAGAATTTAAAAATGAAAATTCGGAGAGTTACATGTCAAAAAAAATTGAAGATCAAACAAAATGAAAAATTGAAAAATTGCAAATCTAAAAATTAAAGAAACGAAAAATTGAAAATCGAAAATTTGAAGAAATAATTTAAAAAATTCCAAATCGCAAAATTGCAACGGAAAACGGAAAAAATTAAAATTGCAAAACTGCAAATCTAAAAATTGAAGAAACGGAAAATTGAAAAAACTGAACTTGAAAAAACAAAAAATTATAAAATCGAAATATTGAAAAAATGAAGAATCTAAAAATTGAAGAAATGAAAAATTGAAAAATCGCAAATCAAAAAATTGAAGGAACGAAAAACCGAAAAAATTAAAATTGAATAAAGAAAAAATATACATAACCTAAAAATTGAAATATCCAATAGTTGGAAAATCGAAAAATTTAAAAATAAAAACTCGAAAACTTGCATGTCAAAGAAAAAGTAAGAAATATTGAAAAATTAAAATATCAAAAGATTGAAAATCTAAAATTTAAAAATCAAGAAGTCAAAACTAGGAAAGTCGAAGAATTATTGAAAAATCCTAAAACTGAAACATCTAAAAACTGAAAAATCGAAAAGTGAAGTCGAAAAATAGAAACCTTAAAAAATCGAAAAATTGAAGAACTGAAGAACAGGAAAATCGAAACACTCGAAGGTCAAGAAATGGGAAAATCAAAACATCGATTAATTGAAAAATCGAAAAATTGAGATTTTATGAAAGTCAAATATCCAAAATATGATGAGTCTACACTTGTGGTTTATCATTCCATTCATATTTTTTGGATCTGCTCATACAGAGTGACTCAAAAAAATTAATGAATTGGTTCATTTATTTTATTGAATAAATCAAAAATTGCACAACCTTGAAAATCTTGCAGACGTTTTTATTGTTGGTATGTTAAATTGTTAATCAAAATATATCTGTTTATTCCCTCCAAAAAATTGATGACGTCATCTCAAAATTTTGCCGAATAAATTCTTCCTAAAATATACCAAATGTAACGAGTTTTTACTTGTGATTTATCACTGCAAGGGAAGTTCTGTTGAAACAACTTTCGACCAATTTTTTCTAGTTTTATGAGCAAGCAGTAACCCCGCCCACCCACCCCTTCTTCATTCCAATGACCACTCCTAATATTGTTCAGTCCTATTTTAGAAAGTTCTAGTTAATTATTTTGTTATACCACTTATCTGCTATAACATTTATTTCTTATTTCTGAAGACAAAATGAGAGACCGGGTGGGTGGGCGGGGCTAAGTTTAACCGTTTCCCACAGAATCTTTTATGAACAAGCAATAGCTGTTTTTCAAATGACAATTGAAAAACAGCAAACCTAAAACCGGGAAGTCGAAAAATCAAAAGATTAAGAAATCGAAACATTTGAAAAATTCGAAAACTTGAAAAATTCAAACATCGAAGAACTGAACTGAAATATCGACACATCGAAAAATCCAGGAGTCAAAAATCGAAAAGTCGAAGAATGGAAATATTGAAAAATCCCAAAACTTAGACATCCAACAACTGAAATATCCAAAAACTGAGAACCTAAAAAGTCGAAAAATTGAGCAATCGAAAAATCCAAAAAGTGAAGTCGAAAAATCGAAACCTTAAAAAAGCTAAAAAATGAAAAATCAAAAAATTAAAGAATTGAAGAACAGCAATATCGAAACCCTCGAAAGTCAAGAAATGGGAAAATCAAAACATCCATTAATTAAAAAATCGAAAAATTGGCAGTTTAAATGTCAAATTTGAAAAATTGAAAAATCGAAAATTTGAAAAAACGACAATTCAAAAACAGAAAATCTAAAACCGGGAAGTCGAAAAATCGATGGATTAAGAAATCAAAACATTTGAAAAATTCGAAAACATGAAAAATTCGAAAACATGAAAAACCCGAAATATCGAAGAACTGAAATGAAAAATCAAGAAATCGAAAAATCTAAAATTTTAAATACAGGGTCATCAAAATTGATTGAGAGAGTTGGTACCCTCTGTTTTTGTCGTGAATTTTGTCAACCCTATGACAGATTTGTTTAAGGTTATATGACAATGAATTCAGTGGCGTGACAAAAATTAGAAACTTCAAATCTGACAACTAATGTATTTACCAAAAAAAAGTCGAAAAAAGACGCCACTGAGTTTTGAAATTTGAAACTTGAAACTTCAAATCTGACAGCTAATATTTTTATGCAACTTAATAAACCAAATTATTCAAGTTCAGGTTTACCAACTCTCTCAATCAATTTTGATGACTCTGTATTGAAAAATTAAAATATCAAAAAACTGAAAAATCTAAAATTTAAAAATCGAAAAATTGAAAAACAGAAAATCTAAAACCGGAAAGTCGAAAAATCGAAAGATTAAGAAATCGAAACATTTGAAAAATTTAAATATGGAAGAGCTGAAATGAAAAATCGAGAAATCGAAAGATCTAAAATTTAAAAATCGAAAAAGTAAAAAGTCGTCACATCGAAAAATCCAGAAGTCGAAAATGGAAAAGTCGAAGAACAGAAATATTGAAAAATCCCAAAACTAAAATATCCAAAAACTGAAAACTTAAAGAATCGAAAAATTGACAATTCGAAAAATCAAAAAGGTGAAGTCGAAATATCGAAACCTTAAAAAAATCGAAAAATTGAAAAATCAAAATCCTGCAAAATCGTAAGATCGAAAAATTGAATAATAAGTAAACTGAAAAATCCCAAAACTGAAATGTCCAAAAACTCAGAAATTAAAAAATTGAAAAATTGAGAAATCGAAAAATCAAAAAATTGAAGTTGAAAAATCGAAACCTGAAAAAATAGAAAAATTGAAAACCCAAAAACTTGAAAAATCAATCAATTGAAAAATCGACAAATAAAGCGTTTATAAAAGTCAAAAATTGAAAAATCGAAATATTTAAAAATCATAAAAATCGTTTCCGAACGCTTAGCGTCGAAATTGGCCTGAGTGCGCTCTGGTCTGTAGATCAAACAAGTTCTCAGACGACGAACTGTAATTCGTGTGACCTGAATTAAAGTGAAGAAAACTTAAGCAGCTTGTAATATTCGGGTAAATCTAGTGTCAATTTGTCGAAAGTAAAACGCGTCGTTAAAGATATTATGACATTTTTTCTATTGTAATTAATTTTATTCCTAGTTAGAAACAAACACTGTTGCCAACATAAGCCGAGGAGTCCTCAACCGTCATTTAATTTAAACTATGACGCTTCTCTAAGCAAAACATGGATAATCCTGAAGATCTTGGCATTTTCAGATAACCTGTGCGCTACGAACGAGGAAAATAGCACTTTTTTTATAATTATCTCCAAATTAAAGTCGCACTTTTCTATTGAGTACACG